AAATATAAGCATCTTTATAATCAAGTAAGTTTAAAACATTGAAAGATATTTTTCTTTGAAGACTTGTTGCTTTTAGAATCTTAATGATGCTCTTGAAAAAGTACCAGATTATACTTTAAGTAAACTTTTAAGAATATTATTATTATCACCTGTTGAACGTGATTGTTTGGAATTAAGAAGAATATTAAAAAGACCAACTATAGATGAAAATATTCCTGCAGAAATATTCTTTAGTCGTTCAAATAGACATATTCAAGCAATACGAGATCGTTATAAAAGATGTAAATGATGATGTTTTTTTCGGAACTCATTGAATCTCTATTTCTGTATATATATATTATGGACAAAATTAGAATTCTGATTTCGACCAGACGAAGTTGGAATAACTTTTTAATGAATGAAACAAGGAAAAAGAAGACATAATTAAAACACCAACAACTAGTTTATTTTATAAAACTTTTAAACAAATATTATTTAAATCCTAAACTAAGTTAATCCATGTTGTAACATGCATCTCTCTTTGAATAATATTTGGTAGAGTAGAACACATTTTCTTTCTTACATGGACAAATTTTGATTACATATTTACCACGAGAGTTACATGTGTCTCCAATTGTGGAACCACAAAAATACATTTGTTATTTAATAATACATTTCTCAGGATAATTCTTGTATAATGAATTAATATATTTATCTATTTTCTCATAGAAGACTTTCTCATTATTATCGATTGCAGCGCTTGTTGAGGTGGACGCCTTTATTTTACGGTGTTATGTTTGACTACTTCTATATATATTGGTTGTTCTTTCGACCACCTCGCCTTGAAATATTCTCTTCGTCTTTATCTTCTGCAAATAACTACAGTGAATAGATAAAAGAAGAAATGATTAGGTGAGAGAGACATAAACAAACTTACATTGATAATCATTCGTTATCAAGATAATACCTTATTTCATTCATTAAAAGATTATTCCAATTTCGTCTGGTCGAAATCAGAATTCTAATTTTGTCCATAATCGTCGCGGTTGAAGTTAGAATTTCAATATTTATATATTCTAGTATACAAAAATTCAATTGAACAAGATGTAGTTAATGATCGAGATAGTCCTTCAAAAAAAATATTTCTTGCGTTATTACAATCTAATCGTTCAGAAAATAGTGATATGAATGATGATGAAATATTAAGAGATGCTCGAGAATTATGTGAAGGAGTACCAAACTGGAAAACAGATGGATCAATATTTATTCGACTTCTATGTACTCGCAGGTTTATTTTTGTTTTAGATTTCAAATTTTTTTCTTTTTGACCTGTTTTTTTTATTGTTAAAGTAATGCACAATTGAAACGAATATTTGCAAGTTATCAACAATTTGGTAAAACTGATATTGAAGAAGCTACACAAACTTATACTGATGGAGATCTTTATCGTACTCTTATAGCTATTGGTATGTAAAATAAAATTTTTATTTCATTTATTTAACTTTAATTTGTTTTAAGTTCGAATTATTCGAGATCGACCACGATTTTTTGCTTATGGATTGAAGAGAAGTCTTAAAGTAAAATACTTATCAAGTCTTATTTGTATAGTTAAATTTTTGTGAAACACAATTTAAAAGGCGTGTTAAAGTATAGATGTAAGAATTCAGACTCACTCCTTCCCATCACTCACACGGATCATGGTAAACATTCTGATAACTCAAGACCATATATCAGTAACGTTTTGTTGTAATACATAAAGTACTTATTTATTGCATTTCTGAAGGATTAGGTAAGAGGGTGACAACGAAAGGTGACCCAAAGTAGATAAAATAAAGCAATCTTTCTGTGATTAGCAACAGCGACTACATCGTGTTTCATATTTTAATTTCTGTCGAATTGCACTAACAGCTTTTTCTTTAGGGTGCAACAACAAATGATGATAATCTCAATCGTATAATTGTTACACGTTGTGAAGTTGATATGTTTCAAATAAAAAATGAATTTGAAAAAATTACAAAAAAACCACTTTATGATTCTATTCAAGTTTGTTTATTAATAAATCAAATATATCATTTCTATAGATTCTTTTTTTCTAGATGAATACAAGTGGAAATTATAGACGGGCACTTCTAGAATTATTACGTCATCGTATTAATCTCAATAATACAAACTTAAAATCAGAATGTTTAAATCAACAAGTAGACATGTTGAACAATGAAAATTCAAAACGAACATCGATACAATGGGAAGCACCAATTCATAGAAGTGATCCAGATATATTCGGTAAATATACATTACCACGTAGTGTTAGTGATCGTGCAATGTACGAAAGAAGACCATATGATTTTAATCAATCATCGACTAAGCCTTTTCAATGTCAATTTGATCATACTAATCAAGCAAAAAGTAATAGTTTATCGACAATAAATACAAAATCATCGAGATCACCATATATTGATCGATGTTCATTTGTACCAATGCCAACAACTGTTGAGAATTATCCACAATCAGATGGTGTATACTAAGAAAACTTTGCAAAAAAATTAAATTTTTTTTTTTTACAAAATATTTGACATGTTTGTTTTTGTTTTGCGAATCTACAAATGATTTTTACCGAATAATAGTTAGTCGTGATTATCAGAAAATACCTAATTATTTAATCAAAATATTTCTCATTCAATTTTTAGTAGTGATAATAGTGAATAGATTTTTTTCTTGTATCGATTGAATTCTAATAGTTTAATTAAATTGTAACACACGAAATATTGATTTGTTTTGTTCAATTTGTTTCCGATTAATTTTTTTTTTCAAACGAATCAGATTGGACAGTTTAGCTTTGTCGATCCGTCGATTCAGTTACAGAATTCAACCGATGATAACAATAATGAAAGAAGAATTTTTTCAAAATTTTTCATCTGGTAGCTCACAACAGCTGGTACTGAACAATCTCTATACTTTGTTGTCTCTGGCTATCTCCACTAAAGATATGATTTCTTAACAAAAAATCAATATATTTTAAGTTATCATATTTGAAATTAGTATGTAAAGCAAGTAAATGGCTTCTCAATTCATATAAGGTTATCATTGCAGATAGGAAAATCAAATGAGTTACAAAGTTCATCTTTTTACATGAGACATCATAATTTTAGGTATCTCAATAGCTAGATATGTTCTTAGTTGCATGAGACTAGCAGTTAACAAAATATTTACAATAAGACGGAAACTCTTCCCATAGTTTTGTAATGAAAACATGAACTGAAAATTATTTGTCGTAAAGAGGTTCTGACAATCAGCTAAAAGCGGTCTAGAAAAGTGAGCTTGAAAACCTCGCAGTGAAAATCTTTAGTTTAACCTGAATGTCATTTCTAATGGCGGGCTAAATTTTCGTGAGTATAGTTAATTCATGCAATATTATCCAAAGACTTCATTGTGCAATAAGAAAGTATGATCGCAAAATTTAGAGCTAGAATTTTGATGACAACAAGAAACTTTCGAACTCAGGTTTTTAAATCATTAAATCTATGAAAATCGATAAAAAAGAGTAAAATATATTAGTTTTAATACTCTAAAAATTAACATAAGATATCAGCGAAAAACGGCCAGTCATAGAAGTTCGACCAAACCGGTCTGATTTCAAGTCTGTGTGTTTTGTAGTCAATTGAGAGACTAACTCGGTTAAATCTTTTTTAATTTGAAAACGTTTCATTGTTCTTCATTGAATTATTTCGATTGATAATACTTTCATTACTATCAAAGCTACCATAATTGACGAGGGAACCTCTTCAGCTGTCTCCTTCCGATTTCAATGATTCTTTTTTTTTCTTATAGATACTATATAATGTTCTAATAAAGTCTCTAAAAGGATTTGAATTTCTATTGAGATTTGACTAAGTCATCGAATTTTTAATATGTATGTTTTCTAGAAGCCCCAGATTTTCAGAAAACTTGTATTTTCGAATTTTGATCTGAAACTTTGCGCATATAGACAGCTCAATTAGACTAGCTTCTACAAAAAAATTCTGAAGTATTCAACAAAGTCTCTTCAAGATATGAAACTTTCAAAAAATGCATGTTGTATACACTGTTCATGACGAAGGATCTATATCTTGAAAGTTTCATTTCTCGAAGAAATTCTGTTCAAAACTTGTAAATTTCTTTATGGAAACTAGATCAGCGTTCTAGAAACTTGGGACTTATAGAAAATAAACATATTAAAAATTTGATAGCTTAGCCATATCTCAATAGGAGCCCAAATTGTTTTGGGGTTTTTATTAGAATACAATGTATTATCTATAACAACAAAGCACTGTGTTCAAACTTTTTCTTGGATCACTCGTCGCATAGTATGCTGGTCACATTATAACGTAAACCCACTGTTGTGACTAATTAGTTCAGATGGAAAGCCCAAGCAATTGAGCACAAGAACTTTGCGTCGGACCAATCTTTTGATCAGAGTTACAATTAGTATTAGCTGTTTTAGAGAAGATATCTGGCTATTGAATCTGCTGCTAGACAGCATTCCATACCACAAGGTAGCTAAAAGGCAGCTATATTCTTCTTCTTCTTTAATTACTATTAAGTACCAAAATAGAACAAACAGATGGTATCCTAAATGCAGCCAAATTTGATATTTCCATTCAAAAAACTAACGAATTCAATCATTATTGATTTTTATCTTGTTCATTTCCGATCGAACATAGATAGATAATTGTTAGTAAAAGAATTGTGCTATTTAATCATCAAACATATGAAATCTCTCTACTATATATAGTCGTTAATTATATGTTACATTCTGTTGAGTTTGTTTTTTTTAAATTCAAAGTATAATGTCTCTTAATCATTATTCTTATTCTTTTTATTCATGTTTTAACACAACAAAAAAAAAATAAATATAATACACACACACAAACTTTGGACCGAAATATATTTCATTAATGAATAAATCTCATTATTGCTTGACAAGAAAAATGGAGAATAAAATATTTCAAAAGAACTTATTTTGTTTGTTTGACTGTTGTTGATTATTTTGTATCGCAAAGAAGAGCAACACCACGTAAACACCTGAAAAATGATATAATTTTTAAAAAAAAACTTCTCAAGGTTAAAAAAAACAAATAAATCTTTACCAAAAATCTGGATTGTTATTATTTATTCTTAATGATAATGAAAATATATAAGTTAAATCAGTACGTCGTGGTTTCTTATATACTGGACAAACATAAAAAGCATTACCCAATGGTTTTGGTTCATTTGTAGCATAAACCTACAATAACAAAATAATTCATTTTATTTTTCAAATAAAATATCAACAACAAAAAAAAATGAATAACATACGTGTACAACTGGTAAATCAGAATAAAGTTGTTTTGGAGGTGGATCAGATAAATGTCCACCTTTTTCACGTGACATACGCCATGCAGCACCATCAATTTTTAATCCATAGACGTAAACACCTTCAGGTGGTGGTTGTGTTACTTCTTCTTTTGTTATCATTTTTAATACATCATTAGCCAGAACAACATTATCTAATGACCAACCTTTATGATTACGTGTTATTTCTTGACGCATAGCCGTTAGAAAACCCTAAATAAATTTTTTAATAAATAATAATAGATTAAAAAAAACAAAAGAACAAACTTGTGGATTAAAAAATCCAGTAAGCCAAAAACAATTTGGTCGTCCACTAAATACCCATGTAAAAAATTGTTGATTTCGATCTAATAAATCACTAAACCAAAAACCTAATGTTGCTGAATCCCATGATACTTTTCTCCATGTTGCTGGTACACGTGCATCAAATATATTATCAAGTGCATCTTTTAAATTTTCATTCATTATAATTGTACCATCAATAGCTAATTTTAAATCTTTTAATGTATTACGTACAACTGCTATAACACGTTGCATACGATCAACTTCTTGTTTTAAAAATATATTTAATGGTTGTAATGTACCTTGTTTTTGTAGTGCAGCACGAACTTCATGTGGAATATAATCTTCAGGTAATTTACTTAACATATCATCACATTGTCGATAAACAGCTGCTTCACGTGTTTCACCACCACCAGCACCAGCATCTTTTGGTTGAATATTAACAATTGTAGCTAAAATTGAATCAGCTGTATTTGTTTGATATGTTATATCAGCATTTGGATGAAGACCAAAAACATTTGGACTATCAAATAAACTCATTGTTTCAATATGTCCACGAAAATCTTGAATTGTTTTACAACGTGGAATTTTATAATTAGGTGCAAAATCAAATTTATCAGTAAACATATTATCAAGAAACCATACACGTGTATAAGTATTTAATAATCGTTTATCAAAATCATCTGTTACACGACCACCATAATGAACTGAAAAAAAAAACAAAAATAAATAACAAAAATGCAATAAGGAAGTATTTTAAGGAGATGCAAGGGAGGAGGAGTGTTGCTAAGGCATCTATCACGATCTGTGATGTGTCGTTGCTAACGAAGAAACTTCTCCAAGTGTGAAATCACTTTTCAACCAACATGATGTTCATTTAATGAGTAATAGAAAAGTCTTCATTGGTTCGGTTTTTCAAACTTTCATTTTCGAAATAGATTTTTTCAACAAAAAGTTGTAGCCACATGGAGAATTGACTTCAACTTCAAACTTTACATGAACAATTTTTTGAATAAGATTAGTTGATTATGCAACTAGTATTTCCTTTCTGAAGATGTACATATATATGAATAAAATTTGTTTTTTACACAGGAGAGAATTCTGAATAGTTCATATTTAGGGATAAAAGATATTAGAAAAGTGACAACTTGCCCAATGAACTAATCTCATTAAGAACTTTATTCATGGAAAGTTTGAAGTCGAAAGTTAATTTTTCACATTACCACTGCTTTTTGTTGAAAAAAACCGATCTCGAGAATGAAGGCTCGAAAAACTAAAACCACTCTATACTTTTCTATTACTCATCAAATGAGCATCGTTTCGATACCTAAATAGATTCTCTCGCGTAAGATGTCCGTAGAGAAGGGCTTGTACGTTTCTGTTCAAAACACTTCAACATGTCTTTTAGATCGTATTTCATAAAAAGTCTAATATTAGAAATAATATTTACCTTCACCAATCATATATCGAACAGTTGGCCATGAAACATTCCATTTTGAACCCATTTCATCCATATGATTTTGAATAAATTGAACTGTAGCTGAAAAATCTGATTGATTAAATTCATATGGAATATTCCCTATTATAATAAAAATAATAGAAAAAGAATTAATTTTAGAAATAATATTGAATTTTAAACATACATCCAAGCGGACCAAATTTACGACGTTCTTGAACAGTTGTATGAAGAAAAGCAACAGCATATAATATGATTTTCCATTCAACAAAGTTACTAGCATCGACTACTTCCTAAACAAAAATAACATAAGATGATGAATTCAATTTGTTTTTTTTTTCTTGAATTAAAATTCTATAAAAATCAAGTAAGTATACTATTAACCTGTGTAAGACCAGCAAATGTACGTTTTAAACCAGCTTTAACACCTTGTGGTGGTTCAAATGTATATTTAATTGATGATTGTAATACATTAATAGAAAATTGTGGATGTGGTTCAGTCGTTAACCAACAACGAAAAGCTTCATGTACTTGTTCAGTTTGCATGACTGTTTCTAACATTTCTTCAAGAAAACCTAAACCTAAATGACAATTTTGTAATAATATCCATCGACCTTCTTGTTGACTTTGTTGAAGTAAACGTCGAGCATGTACTTCTTGTCCTTGACCCATTGATATTGTACCACAAGGAATATTTTGTTTTTTAGCTAAACTTAAAATATTATCTGTTGGATCTGAACCCATTGATAGAAAACAAACAAGTGGTGTTCGTTTATCAGATTCTTGCCACATAGCTTCTAAATTTAAAATATAACCTTCAGCATATTGAACACCTAAAGATTCTCCAATATATTTCTTTGCCATAGGTAATGTACGATCAGGTGCAAATGAACGAACTAATAATAATTTTTTAAATGTATCTAAACTAGTTGAATATGATTCAGGAAAAGTAACTTCTTCAGGTGCATCAGATAAATACCAATTATACCATACTTTATCATTACTAACAACTTGTCTTAATACTTGTGAAAAATGTGCTAATTTAGAAAGTTCAACTAAATTTAACCATGTCATATCAGTTAACCATTTTTTCATTTTATCAGGTCGAGGCTCAACTGCATTCATATCTAAAGCAGCACCACCTTTAATTAATACTTGAAATTCAGATGGTTTTACATTTCCTTTTTGCATATCAATTTTAAGTGCTAATAAAAGTGTATAAAGAGTTTTATCACGTTCATATAAACCACGTGATGAATATTTCCATACTTCATATGTTAAAGAGTCAATGATATTTTGAATACGTTTAACTGTTATTGGTGATGCTTGTGCTTTTTGTCTAAATAAAAATAAAATAATTTTTAATTTTTCTAGGAAACACAACAACTAAAAAAAAATGAATTACCGGCCAATTTCGAATAGACCTAAGAATTGTTTTAATGATGTTTGATACATAACATTAACCATTGACATTTCAACAATAAGAAAATAAACAATTGAACCACGTGTTGCTACAGGACGAAATTCTTCACGAGCTGCATTAATTTTAATTTCAGTTTCAGCAGCAATTGTTAATTTTTCATTAACTTCTTTTGATGTTGCTTTTGTATCAGCTAATACTTGAATAAGTGATTCATCTTCAACTAACGATCCTATAATACAAAAAAAAAATTTTTATCATTAACAAATATGAAAAAAAAAACATTTGTCTTAAACCTTCAGTTGATGTTAAACGATAGAGTAAATTATCTTCTAATTCTTTTGTACGACGTTTATTAGATGTGACTTCTTCAAGTAAACGTACACGTTCAGCTTCAAGTTCCTAAATTAAAAAAAAACCAAACAGCAATATATATATATATATTAAAATTCATAATAGATTTTTTCTTATTAGATTTAATATTATATTATATTCTTACCGCTTTTTCTTTTTGAATAACAATACCTAATAATTGATCTTCTAATCCTTTCATTGTTACAGTAAAATCAATAATTGATGTTTTAGCATATATTTCAGGTGTATAAGATGGATTAGCTAATTTTGTTGTTATATATAGTTTAAAACCTGTTAAAACATCACATTCTTTATCTCCAACTTTAACTTTAAGTGTTGAACCAGATTTAATAAAATTTTTTTCTAAAACATTATCTAATGCTGGATCAAGTTCATCACCAACATCTTCAATCATTAATGGTCTACCAAGTGATAATGCATCTTCTAAATGTGTACGAAAATATTTATGATTAAGTGTTGTAATTTGTAAATCATTAGTTGATTCTTTTTGTCGAATCCATGCTTTGCCTTGACCTTGAGGATCAATTAAAAGTGGAAAACGAGCTGCTGATGTGACAATTAAACCATTTTGAATAGATAATTCATCATTTGGAAGACCTTGAAGATTCCATTCACTAATTGTTGCATTATCAACAAGAAATGAAACAATATTTAAATCCTAAATACAGGAAAAAAAAAGAATTTTTGCTTTATCATTTAAATTCAAGGATTAGCAAAATTATTTACATCAGAATATGGAACTTTACGTTTCGTCATATCTGAACGCCATTGTTTTATAAGTAATGTCCGAAATTCTTGATTGAATGGGCCAGTATATGAAAGAAAACCGGTAGCTAAAAGAACATCACCAACTAATCGATTTGTTTGAGCTTCAAAACCTTTTGATGCTTCTGTCCAGCGTATACGTTCACCTGAAAGGCCATCAATTAAAGCTGAAGCATTGTGCATTTTTCTTCGACATGCTTCAGCATCAGCAAGTAAAGCCTAGAAAAAAAACAACAGATTTCTGTGTAAAACACCGCTTCATTTTAATTAATAATATTTACTTGTTTAATAGCATTTGCTTTATCGAATTCAGCTTGTACAACCTGAAATATAAGAAAAATAATAATAACAATAGAAAGAAAAAAAGCTGTTAGCACAATTTCCTACGGCATTAAAGTGTGAAAGTCGATGTTGTTAATTAAAAGGAGATTATATTTTATTTGATCTATTTTCGGACAAATTTTTTCACTATCTTTTTACTTAATCTTCCAGAAATACACTAAGGAATTAGTTTAACAAGACTTTATTGATATACGATCACAGATCGTATATCAATAACGTCTGTTGCTATCTGTAATACAGAGTGGAGTATTGCTAAGGTGTCTGTCACAAAAAAGAGACGTTGCTAGGAATGTCTGTCGTGATCTGTGGGGGAATCCGAATTGCAAATTTCTACTCTATATACATCAACACTCCTTTCAGATCGTATTTCACCATACGAAATCAATCAATTGGAAGATTATTTCAAGAAAAAGATACGTACCGCTACTTCAGCCATTTTAGCTGCTAATTGAGCTTGTGCGTCATTATAATTTCCAGTAGCTTGTTGAAGACGACTTTCTTGAACAGCTAAGTTAGCTTTTAATGGTAATACTTCTCTGTTAATGCCATAGAAATATGCCATAGCTATAGCCCATGAACAAAGGCCAGCTACATTGCCTGATACACGTTTAGCTGTTTCTAAATTAAAATCTTCCATAAGTAAATATGGCTGTAATAATTCGACTGTTTCAGCATTAATTGTATCCTAATAAAATTCAAAAATTTATTAAAGATTTTTTTAAATTTTTTTGTTTCTTTTACTTTTGGAAAATTCATAAGTGTATTTAAGAAATCACTTCCACCCATTAATTTAAGTGATTCACCCCATGATGGTTTTGGACATGGTTTTTCAGGATCCATACTAATAGGTTCCATTGGTCGTTGAAATAAAATTACAGCACAATCCATAATACGCATAATTAAATGTGGTGGTCGACCTAATTTTTTAACTGTAGCAATATCCGCTTGTTTAATTGTTTTTAATGCTGCTTCAGCTTCTTCTAAAGCTGGTCGTGCTACTTCAAGTTTAGCTTCAGCAATAGCTTTATCAGCCGATATTTGATCAACAAGTTCTTTACATGAATCAGCGACACGTTGTACTTGTTCAGCAACTTTTGTTGCAGCTGATTTTTTAACATTGACATCTAGCATAACAAGATCAGCGTTTTGATTAGCAACAACTAATTCTTTTTCTTTTCCTTCTAATTCTTTTGCTAATTCACGTACTTCTTCAGCAGCTGATATAAGTTTTTTCAAACCAGTATTCATACGTTCAGCTAATTTACCAATATCTTTACGTTTTTCTGCATAAATTGTTTTATAACCAGCTAAAAATGATAGATATGATTTTGGTGTAACATGTGTTTGACGACGAAATCGATTAAAATAATCTACACATGCTTCGGCAACTTGATCTTGTATTTCACCCATCATCATAACTAATTCTTGTTTAACTTGTTGTGTACATGCAATATCAAAATTACTAATAAAATGTTTTGATACAGCAATTAAAGCATCTTTTGGCCAACGTTGAAACCAATCCATTGTACAACCTGATATTAAAGCTGGAAATTTTAATGAACGACTACGAAATTTTTCTCCAACAGGTGAAAAACATAAAACAACATGTAAATTATTTCGTACACGTGTTAAAAAATAATCATATAAATTTTCATTTGTTGGTGCACGTTTAGGAAATTCACGTTTCATAACACCTGTTAATTCACCTAAGATTTCATCGATTTCATCACGTGCAAATAAATTTGAAACTTCACCTGATGCTAAAACATTATTCATATATTCAAGAAAAGCTTCATCTTTAATTTCATTATCTGTAAATAAAAATGTAACACCTTTGCCTTTTTGTCCAGCAGTACGATATAAATTTTTTAAATCTTCCATTAAATTTGTTACATTATATGATCTTAAAAAGTATATGAAAGAAAAAAAAAAAATACTCTAATATTAATTATGATTTTCTTTTTTTCTTTACCTTGTTAATGTTATTTGAAATGTTTGATAGCCAGCAATAAATGATGCTAATCGAGTAAGTGATTGTTTTCCACTACCACCAACACCAACTAATAATGCACAACCACATGGTGTTCGTATAATACGAGATATTTTAATTAAATGTGTCATAGCATCTTTAAAAAAGACTAAATCCATTTTACCACCTTTGATTTGTTCATTATATTGTTGTTGATAAAATTGAAGTTTTTCACGAAGTGAATCATATGATAGAATAGGATCATAAATTTTTGGTGCTTCTAGATCAGCTTCTTCACCTTCTTCACCTGTAGCTTCAGGTGCATCACGAAGAAAATCAACAAAATATGGTTCAGCTTGCATTGTAGAAGATGCTTGTTGTCCACATTCTTCATCTGCAACTAATTTAAGTGTTTTTTCAAACCAATCTTTATCTTCTTGTGCAACAAAGCGATCAGCAATAACACGATAACATTCATGTTTCCATAATGACATTGCAACATCAATTTTATTTCCAGCTACTTCGGATGTTACATTAAGCATTCCCTAAATATGAATATTGTTTTTTTTTAATAGAATAAATATGAGAACAAAAAGTCTAACCTGCCAAATACGTGAAAGATCACGTAAATTAAAAACATAATGAAATCGAGCTGGTGTTGGTAACATTTTAACTTTAGTTTTTTGCCATAATTTTCTTGTTGCTGGTACAAGTTTTTCAATAACATTAATAACATCTTGACTAAAACCACGTTCCTATGAAAGATTTAAAAAAGAAAATAGAAAGTTTGATTTTTTTTCTATGTCATAAAATTTATTTACTTTACAAAAATAACCAAGTCCAACAGTACTAAAAACTTTATCAATTGAAGCATTTGATGGTAATGTACAATTAAATATACAAAATTGTCTTTTTAATCGTTGTGGTATATCATTTCTACCACCACCAGGTTGAATCATAGCAGCAATAAATTGTATATCAACAATATTTGTAAATTCACCTGGTTTTTCAAGATTATAAAATCCATTTTGTTCCATAAGTTGTCGTGTAATTTCATTTGTAACCTTTAAAACAATAAAAATAAATAAGTATAACAATATCATGCCGCTATAGGGCATTATCTTTCTCATCAAGTGTTAATGTTTTGAGAAGTCATATACTAGTTAAGAAATATTATAGCGATTATAAGTTCTATGAGTATATCAATTGATTTTGCTCTGAATTATTTTGTGTCATGGTCAAACCAGTTAATGAATGCCTAAAAAAGGCCGTTTTTTCGGTTTCTAAAGACAGAAAGATATGAGTTTTTCGGTACACACTTTTTGAGTGAAAATTTTCTATCTACAACAGTAGTCGCCATAAGTGGACGCGTCCTCTATTTTTGTTCTATAATGAGATTTGTTTCATCTTTTTGCTTTGTTTGAAGGGGCTATTGATACTCATCATCCGGAGTAAATACGAGCATTTGTATTCGTACTGCCACCAACTTATAACTAAATAGAAAATAGACGTTTTTATTTGTTTTTTTTAAAGAAAAGATGATAAATAATTTTTCTATAAAGGCAGCGCTGTGTCCCATACGTGTCAAATACTAGTATTTTACAATATTTATACGCATCAGTGAGTCGATTGTAAATTGTGAGCTTAAAAGGTACGAAATAGCCGCTGGCGCATAAGTTGCATAAAATTCGATATATACCGGAAAGAAAAGATGTAACGACTCCGTTGAGGATAGCTCAACATTTAATCGAATCTGTCGGTTGAATTGTATTTAAGTTATCAAAAAGAGGTATAAAAATTAGTAAAACAATGCTAAAAAGAAGATTTAAAAACTGCAAGTGTACATTCAATGAAACCGATCTCGAAATCATTTCTAACAAGTGATGATATTTTAAAAAAAGATTTAAGTGGAATATAAAACTCACAGACTATAACCCAATGGAAGATATCGCGCATTGATGAAGCTAAGAATAAACAAAGAACCGAATGTGTCGATCAATCATTTTATTGAAAAAATGAAAAAAAAGAATGAAGAAACTTAGCTAATGAATCTAATGAAAAATTAGTCGATTCTATGGAAAATAGAGTAGCATTGTTAACAGAAAGAAAAAGCGACTATATCAATTATCAGGATGATGCACATATAATGTATATTTCATAAGTAAAATATAATCAAATAACTCCTTTGTCTTCCTCGTTTTTTCGGTCGCGCCCACTTATGGCGATTACTGTATTATGGAACTTTTGAAAATGGCAAATAAAAATTTTCGTACTTTGAGATTCCAGGAAAGTATATGAGAATGAACTATTACAAAGATTAGTTTTTTATTTTATTTTGTTGCTTACAAACTTAGATTCTGGCTAGCCAGGTATGATTAGAGTATCGAACTCTACTAGATTCAACGTATGTTCAATTTCTTATTAGTATTAAAAAATGTTTCATATTCTCGTATTCCTTCAGAGATCTGAAAGTGAGAAGTTATTTTGCCATTTTCGAAAGATTCATATATGTCAAATGATAGGACGTGATGAACTTATTATTAATAGATAGAAAGTTCTTCATTCAAAAAGTATTTATCGTAAAATTCATATACTTTTTTATTCTTAGAAATAGAAAACTTGACCTATTTCAAGCATCGATTAGTCGATTTGATCATGACGCATACCATTTCAGAGCAAAATCAATTGGTATACTTTTAGAGCTTCATAACACACAATTTCTAAGAAAGAAGCACTGCTGGTCGCCTTTACCCTCAACAGCAGTATCGAAGAACTCAAAATATCATAAAAGTCGAAAATGTCAGAAGCTAGTAAAAGTTCTAAGATTTGGGATATAAAGAAAGCTATTGTGAGTATTATTAAATATACATGACGTAAGATCAGACAAAGCTCTATTGAAGTAAATTTAAACAAAATTTGATATAGGTTGGATTGGAAATATATTGAATCCTAATATTTAATCATATCGCCCTCACAATTGCTATAATATCCCGTAACTGATATGTAGCTTCTCAGAACATTAAAATTTAATGGAAAAGCAATGCCCTATAGTGGCACGAGTCGTTCGACAAATCGTTATAGGCAGCTTTTCAAATGTTGGATGGTTGTCTTATCCGAAATGATTCTTTAAATAAATCTTACTTGATCACCCCATTCATTTATAATCGGCATATTAATATCATCAATAAAGATTGTCATTTTCTTTCCTCCAGGTGGTCCATATGTTGTACCAACACGTTTATCAACATAACTTTCAATTGTTCGTTGAACCATTGTTGCTGTAGTTGCGCTTGAAAAATTGACACTTTTAAATGATTGAGCTTCAGGATCATATTTTGAACAATAACCTTTAACCATAACTGTTTTAGCAGTACCCTAGAAGCAAGAAGAAATAAAAAAATATTTTTGAAAAGTGAATTTTCTTTTCTTTTTTTTTTTTTACTTGTTCACCAATTAATAAAACAGATTTTTCTTGTTTAGCAATTGTATCAATCAAAAAGTCAGTTCGAACATTATCAACATTAGGTACAAGAATTGATGAATATTCAGGTATTGAATCTTTTGGATAAATATATTCAGGTACACGATTACTCCAATGTTGCCATTGACCTGTTTCAATATTAACAACATATTCAAAAATTGTTTCTTCACCTTTTGTTGGTGGTAAATCAAGAATTTTTTTTTCAACAAGAAAATCTTCTAGTTTCTTTCGATCAAATAATTCAAGTAAAGCACCAACAGACCACATTAATGCAAATACATAAAGACGACCAAGAACATCTGGTGCTGGAGCTTTATCTTTATTAATTAAACCTTGTAATAAATCAAGTGATTGTTTTGTATACATGCATTCGAGTAACTAAATTTTTAAGAAAACAAGAGTAAATTCTTTTTTTTTTTGAAATAATTCTAACTAAAAGAAAATATTTACTGGCATTTTTGGTTCAAGTGATTGAAGAACATAAGTTAAAGCATCTGGAAATGATCTTGTATAAAGATTAAGTAAAACATCAGTTTCACTTGCATTACGTTTAAGTAACCATCCTTTTACAATAGGTTCCCAATTCATAACTGATGCTGACATGAAGACCATACCATTTCGACTGACAGTAGCCGGTGAAGCATTATCAATATTATGTACTTCGAATATAATTTTACAATTTGGTGCCATTGGAATTCGATCACCATTAGCTAATGTTAAAGTTTTATTATCATCTAGTACAGAATTTAAATTTTCAATCCAAATAGCATCAACAGGTCCATCAAGAATTAACCAAACATGATCACCCTAAAGTTAACCATTCAAAAAAATCATCTTAAATTTCTTTCTTTTTTTTTCTTTTTTCTTTTCAATACTTTTTTCGTTTTTAATGTTCGACGCCATAATGTTGAAAATATTCCATCAGTCCAATCATTAGTTGCTACATCTAATCGACCAAACATTTGTGGAGCTGTTATAGCTTTTGGATTCATACGCATTTCACGATGTGGCGCACCACATTCAGTCATAGCTTTCATTAAAACACTAATGAAAAATTAAATAAAATACAATAATAATCATTTTATTTATGTTTTTCTTACTTGATACATTTTGTTTTTCCAGCACCACTAGGTCCTAATGTCATCATACCATGACGTACACGTTGTGTTTCATAAAGTTGAATTAATTTTAATACCCATGGTGGATGATGAACTAATTGTGCTTGATCAGTCTAAATTAAAATTTCGAAAAAAAAACAATCCGATTAATTTATATTATAAAAAATTAATTAATAAATACTTGTGTTTTAATAGCTGCTTCAATTTCTGGATAACCTTTTGTTTCAAGTTGTATACCAGGAAATAAATCATCGATTAAAGACATAAATAATGGTTCATCTTCATCAATCTATATTAGAATATAATAACATAAAAATATTTTTCATATGATGATAAATAATAAATATACAAACCAATTTTGAAAGATTCATATCACGTAAAATTCTCATCATTGTTTTTTCTTCTGAATCCGTTGGATTTTCACGTTTAAATGCACCAAGTGTACGTAAAACCGATAAAATATTTCTTAAACCAAAATCATAATGTACTTGTTTTGTTAATTGTTCTTCGCATAGTTTATATAATGTATAAAATTTCTTTGATAATTTAACATTTTGAAGAAAACCACAACTAGCTAATTTGACACGCATAATAATAGCACGATCAGGAACCATCATAGCTAAACAAAAAAATTAAACTTGGAAATAAAGAGAAAGCTAATTATCAAATGACTTACCAACTGTACGGAAATTAATTTTCAAATTTTCAGGTAATTCTTGTCGACCGGCATAACCAGGATTCTAAATTTTCAATTCAGATTATTTTGTTATTTCTATTCTAAGATGCAGCGAAAAGTCAACAAGAAATTAAATTAATCGCATTTTACTTTGGGTGTGCGTGTTTTCGTCATCCACATCCAAAAGAACTTAAATATTCTTACAACTTCTAAAGATGTGTAAGCATAAAAGTAAATTGGGATAAATTTGATTTCTCCTGGACCTATAGATGCAAACTGTCTTTTACACTGTTCAAGTACATCGACAGATTTGTACTTCAGGAAAGAAGCAAATCAAAAGATTTGAAAACTTTCACAATAAACTATTCTCATTAAGGTATGTCTCTATACCAAGTTTCAAGTCGAAATTTGAAAATGAGTTTTTCTTGTGTTCTTGAGGGAGGATCCACAGCATTCACCAAAAAAAAACTGCCGTACAAATGTAGTATCTCGGCAGCAATACGCTAAGGATCCGAACTCTTTTCAGTATATTCATAAGTTATTAGGGTCTACATGATACACATAGTTTCGACTCAAAAGCGATTAATCAATTAGACGACTTTTCTCGTTAGATAAAAATATTCATTTTACCATTGTAAGAAAGAGACCAAATTCAGTATCCATATCAACAGTATCTCCATCTGTAAAAATAAATGTTGATTTCTTTTCTTTTTTACATCGTAAAACGATATCAATTTGTTGAGCAGCGACAGAAAGTACAGGTAATTCAATACGATTGAATTCATCAAAACAACCCCATGAACCTGTGAAGAAATTAAATGATAATTTTAAATGTATTTTACTTATAATTAGATATATACCTGATTGAGCTAAACCTTTGTAAATACGTCCAAGACCACGATAATCCATTTGATCGGAACAATTAAATACCTATTTATATTAAACATTATTTATTTTTTTGCATTGAATATTTTTTCTTTTTTTATGTAACTTACAACAACAAATTTTCCAAGACAACGACCCATATCTTTTGTTGTTTCTGTTTTTCCTGTTCCGGCAGGTCCTTAGAAAAAAAAAGATCATCTCAAACTTGTAATGCATCTTTAACTTTCAATCAGTCATACCTGCAGGTGCACCACCTAATGACATATGTAATGCTTGTGCTAATGTGATATAACATCTATAAAAAGAAAAGGATAATTTAAAATAAACTAACTTTTTATTTTTCGTTTCTTACCGATCAGTTAATGGTGTAATGACAAGTCGATCAGTACAACCCAAATATTCATTCATATATTTAAAATCAACGTCAGTTATTGATATACGACATATATCAGCATCTTCGTCAAAATAAAATCGACATTGTTTAAGCCAATCAAATTCAGCTGGTGATCGAGTTTTATTTGCAACCTATGATTAAATTAATAGCAAATATTTAAAAAAAAACAAAGATTATCTTTAATCTTAATATAAATACATACAAGTTCATCAAAAATATCTTTTTGATGTACATGAATTGTGATTAATGTTTCAATTTTAACTCGATCTAATTTTGATAAATCTTCTGTTGTTTTATTAATTAATGCATTAAGAATATCAAGAAATTTCTTTGCTGTATCTGTCATTATTTTTTTATCTATCTTTGTATTATTTAAAGCTATTTCGGCATCACGTGTCCATAACATTTGAAGACCAAGTAAACCAACCTGAATAAAATATATGATAATATCTTATATAATGGATGACTCGAAAGTTTTGAGACAAAAATCTTCGTTCATTTTTCGACTGATTAAAAAGATTAGAAGAAATTTTATACTCTTGACTTGTAGTTGAAACTTGCGTGGTCTCATAGATAAGGAGTTATAAGCGAATCTTCGAAAATAATATTTGAATAGATTACAATGTATGTCTACAAGGAAACGACTAGAGGAGAAGTAAAATTTATTCCAAAGACACCATAAGAAAAAAAAAAACAAAGAAAATTATATCTTAATCGATAATTTTCTATAAAATTTCTGAGTTTTAATAAGTAATACAGTGATATTTTGCCTGGACTTATAAAATCAACTCAGTCATATCTGAAGGATTTATGCGAGACTCACGGCTCTTAATGCTGTGCGTAAAACTTACTAATAGAACGTATACTATAAGAAATATCATTACTGAGAAGAGTCTCTGTTACCCAGATGCTGATTCAAAACGTCATGCATTCACATAAAACGAAATAAGACTAACGTAAGCGGAAACAACAAAATTACAAATACAAAATTGCCAAAAAAAATTCTAATCTACGGTTTTGAAATTTCTGCTAGCTCTTTTAATCATTCAAAAACTGAAGGTAAAATTTGATCTTAAAACTTTCGGATCACTCCTTAATATCAAATAAATCATTTACTTGAGCTGGAAAACTACTGAGAAAATCAAGTAAATTAAACGATGGATCTTGAATAGCAATAGCACCATCACGAATAATTTTATGTAATGAAGCACGTGACATTTTTAATAAATCACCAAGCCATACTTCAACATTACCCTATTAATAAATATAAAACAATATGTATTTATTCATTTATAATATTTACAAAAATCAATACCTGAGCCATAACTGGTTCTTTTAATGGTACCATTTCACCTTCTTGTGAATTAATTTCAAGAATTTTATCATAAACTTTTTCATCAAATGTAACTGTTTTAGTATTATCAAAAACACTTAATAAATGATTCTAAAATAAATCATAAACTATGAATTATATTTTTTTTTCTAATGTTTTAAATTTCTATTTTACTTGAATTGTATGTGAATCACTAGCTTGACCAAGAATTTCTAATAGAGCTGGATCAGAAACAAAGAAAAATCTTGGAAATACTAAACGTTTCTTTTCAAGATAACCCGTTAAAGATTTTTGACATAATTCAAGTTGTTCAAATAAATGTGGTAATAATTGTGCTAATGTATCATCAGCTGTACAACAACTAACAACATTTAAATTTTCATGTGCACGTTGCATGATTTTTTGCCATGATTTATCAATATTTCCAAAACGTTTAGCTTCAGCTGGTAATTGTTTAGCTATATCACCACCAACAAAAACAGCTTCTAAATAAATCCAAAGATTTTGTACAGACATCCATTTTTCAATAATTTCAGTTGTTGATGTTAATTTTTGTACCCATTCTTGAATTTTCTTTTTAAATGGTGCATTATAACTAAATAAAGAAATTAATTTCAAAAAAAGAAAAAAAAGAAGCAAGCGAGACAAATTTTTATTTTTATTTTTATTTATTTTTGTTTAATTACCGATTAGACATTAATGAACCAAGAATCATTAATGAATCTTCCATAAGTGCAATTATTTCACCAGTAGCATCACCTTTTAATAGAAGTTCACCACGAGTTTTAAATGTACTAAATTGAAAATTTTGATTTCCCCAATCATTAACAACTTGATTAAGTTTAGCTTCAATATCTTTTTCTTTAATAGCTGATATACAAATATCCTTAAAAGAAAAAAAAATTGTTTTTTTTTTTTAATATTTTTATCTTTTTATTAAAAGTATTACTTCAATATCTTCTTTATATTTAAGTAATGGTGCAGTCATTATATCTCGTAAAAGAAAATTATCGGATTCAATATCAAATTTATGTCCAGTAACATTAGCAATACGTTCCCAATGACGTGGTTTCATTGATTTATTAGCCATCATTTCAAGTAATGGACAGGTTTCATTAAAATCATCTAATAAAATAAAAGAAAAATTATCAAATAAGTTCTAATTAATCTATTTTCTACATACCAATTGTCTTTTTTAATTCTTCAAAAGCATCATATTCTTTCAAACCTTTTGGTAATTTTCGACAACGATTTTGAAAATCTAATAAATCATTATTGATTTTTTCAATATCAACATCAACCCAAGCTATATCATAATATCCATTGATTGTATCAATAACAATATTATATAAACCATAAAGTTTTTGTAATAAGCCTAATTCCTAAAATTATTAAGAAATTAAATAAACAGATTCGAAAAGAGTGTTTAAACTTTATTCCTTATAGCATTGTGTTTCGAGACCATTAACACCATGAGTTAATAATAGTCACAAAGTTATGTGTGAGGGGTTTAGTTGCATTGACCATGTTAATAAACGGAAAATGGATGTGCAGTTTCAGTAAACTGTTCATCGAAAACTCACGCTGACTATACTAGATCGATATTCACTGATTTATCTGGCATATCCACACTATATGGGTGTTGATACTTCTGTGAACACCGATCCAGTGTAACCAGTAGGTTCACTGTCAGTATTTTCACTGAAACTGCGCGTCTCTAAGAGGGCGTGAAGACTCTTTGGTAATACTTCTAGGAGAAAGCAGAGGTTAAGCCCTCTTCTAGCTTCCGTCTGGTTACACTACTATCTCAAAATGAATAATACTGTATATCCGAGATTTAAGGATAAGAATGAAAGTGAACCTGATAGAGTCTGACAGCTTTTTGATTCAAATTCAACAAACTCTAGAATCAGATGGCTTAAGATTCGATACAATGATCTTGAATATACGAATCGAATATGCATTTCTATCATCTAGTACACTTGTCTTACATACACACACAAAAGTTCATGTCTCGTGTATTTAACCTTCTGACTATGAGATAATTTTCAGAAATAGAAATAAAAAAAAAAAAAGAAAATGAATTTATACTCGTTTAATTCGTTGTAAATCTGGATACTCCGTTATTGATAAACCAAATAAATCTTCACCAGCACTATATGTTTCAAATTTTCTCCATAATTCATCAAATTTTGCTTGAAAGATTGTTAAACGATCACTAGCTTCACGTGGTGGTGTACCTTGAACCATAGGTCCTCTTTAAAATTAAATTAAATTAAATTAAATTTTGAATTCATAATTAATAATAATAATAATAATTAAAAAAAATAAATCTTACTTTTTATTATAATCATCAACAAATGTAATAAAATCTTGTTGAAATGTTGTAACATTATCCAGAAGATTTTGTTTAAATACTGGTTGAATATCAAGTAAATGAGCTTGTACTTCTTTTCCTTGTTGTAAACATTTTTTCCATGCATATTGTAATGTATCAACAAGTTCAGGTTTACCATCATTAAATGCAATTTCATATTTATTTAACATAGCATAAGTTTCTTCAACTGGTGTTATTGTTTGATCAATTAAAATTTCATTTTGACGTATTTCAGCTAATGCACCCATATGTGTACGAACATCATCTAAATCTTTGCATGGACGTGTTAAACGTTTTTGTATATCATCAATTCTATCGAAAACCATTTGCATATCTTGTGATGCTTTTTCATTTAAAGCTTTAGCATATGCCATTTTCCAATTATTAATTTCTGTTTTTAAGCCACGTTTTAAATGTTCAGTATAAAATACTATTGAACCAACTTGAAATAAGGGAGGAAATTCATCAATATCAGTTTCCATTCGACGATAATGTTTAAATAATGCTTCAAAATCAACCATTAATGGTTTTGATTCCATAAATGCTTTTACAGTTGGTTCTGGTTCCTATTTTTATATAGAAAAAGAATAATAAAATTTAACTAATAATAAACAAATTTTTACTTTTTCCCATAATTCAGCAAACCCGGTAAAATTTTTCATCATTTCTTGAACATCAGGTTTAAATGTACTTATAGCTGAATTAAGTGATAAGACAACTTAAAAAAAAAAAGAAAATTATTATTAACATGCAAATAATAGTATTTTATTTACCTTTTTTAACATCATTATTTTCTGCAATGACCTAAAAAATATAAAAGGAAAATTTTTCGTAATGAATTTCTCTTATACGAATCAAAATGTGAACGACAATAGCGCTGCTTCTATTATAAATATGATAATTTTAACAACATATTGGGATAAGAAGTGTGTAGAACAAGAGGAAATCTCTAAACGTATTGCGAATTTATTTTGTTTCCAATGCATCAAAATAACAATCCGCAAATTTTCTGATAATAACAAAATATCTTATTCCTTACTCTTGCTTCTCCTATTACAGATCTTGATAGATTTTTTCGTCCATCAGAATCTTTAGGAAGAGAAGACATCCAATTTATTTGCTATACAAATTCAATAATGATATATCATTAAAAAAAAAAAAGTACGCCAAAACAAAAATAACAACAAAGAATAAGAAATTTTCAAACCTTATGTAATGGTTTTGGTGCTTTAGCTTGTACAGCTAATTTAACATCTTCACCTTCATCTAAAGCTTGTTTTTCAATTTCCTATAAAAGATAGAACAATAATATATATATATATATATATTATTTAAATAAATATTTCAATTTTATTCTTACTTTAATAGTTATTTCTCGTAATTTCTTTGCATGAAACCATTCTGGTATATCTTGTCCAATTTTAAGCATTGTATTTGCTGATTTATTTAATTGTGATTGCATATCATCTAAACTTGGTTTAACAAGTACATTTGGTATTGATAAAACAATATCTGTACGAAATAATGGATTGCGTACTTGTTCACGTATAACTTCTTCACCAACATAACGTATTGGTTGTTGTAAACGTTTACGTATTGTTTCTAATGAACTTCGTGTACATTGCACAATAGCATCAATATTTTTATTCCAATATACGGTTAAAAAATTAAAATATGCACATGGTTGACAATCATTACAACGTGTAACATGTCCTTTTGTATTCATAGCTGATTTAAGTGCACAATCATAATATTCACTGTCAGTTTCTTTTATTTGTGTTTGTTCATGTGGTTTAAGACGTTTTTTAAGTATTTCAAGTAAATAATGAACAGCTTTTTCACATAATAATGTTTGTTTTGTTATTGAACTAATGGCATGTTGACATGATTCATCTGTTAATTTAGAAAATTCATCAAGTGTTATTGGTTCTGGTTGTGGTTCACATAATTGTGTTTCAGCTATTGTTTGTAAAGAATTTTCAATACGACACTGTAAAATATCAGTACAATCATTAATAAGAATACGTAATTGTTCAAGTTCTTGTCGAACATTGTTTATATCTGTAAAAAAGAAATTGCATTGGAAGATGAAAGATTTGTCTTAAATTTAAAACAAAAACAAAAACAATTACATACATTCTTCAATAGTCAATGAAGACCATGTAATAGCAACAAAACCAGGTCGTAATGCTTCTTCGACTTTTTCACGATGTGGTTTAAATAATTGTGACATATCTTTTGGAATCAATGCATATGCATGTTTAATATCGTTAAGTAATTCTTGTAAATTAACACTTGTTTGTCGTATTTGTTCTTCTTGTCGAAGTAATGTTGTTGCAGTTTCTGGTATATCTAAACCTAATTTTGATAAATATTGTGCATCCTTAATTAATTCCAATACTTGTGGATCAAAATTAACATATTCTTCCTATAAAGAAAAATGAATCCTACAAATCAAAAAAAAAAACAAATACAAAACATGCATACTTTTGTTTCTGGATTTCGAATATAAATAGTTGCTTCCATACCTTTCTTAATTAAATCAATACTACGTTCCCAATTACGATAAAACAAAACTTCATATTGAAGTAATGCTTCAGCTATTTTATTAAAATTTTTTATTAATAATCTTCCATCATCAGTTTTACTTAAATCCATTTTATCTTGTAATAATTTAATTGGTATACTTATACGTTGATATAATTGTCTTGCCCATATAATTCGACCAGCTGTTGGTGGTAAATTACGTGATAATGGTGGATCTTCTTTATTTTTTTCATAAATTTTACGTACACTATCAAGTTCTTTACTATAATTTTGTAATAATTTACTAAGTTTATCACCAAAATCAATTTTAACACCTTCTAAATCTTGAAATTTATTAAGAAACAATAAAGATTGTTCAACCTAAGAAAGAAAAACAAAAAACATTATATTATTTATTTTTTGATGTTTTAACATTGTTTTAATAAATTACTGTATATGATTTTCGAAACCATGAATCAATAAATAATTGTAATTGAGATTGAATATATTCAATTTGTGATTTAAATTCATTATAATCATTATCAAACTAGATTTTCAAAAAAAAAAAAAAAGAAGAGAAAAAATTATGATAAAGAAAAATAAGTTAGATTTTATTTACATCCGGCTTTCGATGATCGAGTAAATCATATGATTTCTTTTTAATTGCATCAACAACTGATCGATATTTAACAACAATTGGTTCTAGACCTTCAACACGTATATTTTGTAAACCACTTAAACTTTCAATTGTATTTAAAACATCAACAATACGATCAAGACGTTTGCAAAATGTATCGAATTTACCAAAGATATAATTTTCACTAAAATATTTATTAATTAAAATATTCTATAAAAATAACTGAAAAAAAAAGGAAAATTTAGAATACTCGGCTTATCTTTGAGAGGAAACTTTTAAAAGAATGTAGATTTATGATTTTCAAAGTTTTTCAATATTGTAATTGATACGAAAGAACTGATACATCATTCAAGTAAATGTACTGAATTTAAGATACCCGTGTACTTGGACTGTGCCATCACGGTACCAGAAAAGGTATCCTTAGGTATGAGCGGGATCAGTCGCTTTTGGTCTCGGTTCCATGGGTAGAGCCTGTAGGGTCTAAAATTTTCGGATCCAGATTCAGTCGAGCCGTACTTTGATACTCCTCATGAAATCTTCTAATCAGAATTGAATAGTCACCCGAAGATATTCTTTTTCGATGTTTTGTATTCTGTGACTAGCGCACTCGATACATTTCTCCAACGGCTAGAGTCTGTCAGATCCAAAATTTTCGGACTCGACTGTGTCTGGGTTTGAAACCATCTTGTCTATATATAGGTATCCTACTGCCAGTATGTAACAGAATCTTGATCGATTACATTGCTGAGAATCGTCTCAGTACATGGGTACTGATCAGGTACTCGTTTGAATATTTGCCCGGTTTCTATAACAGCAGGATACCTTGAACTCAGTACATTCATTCTTGAACGAAATCATTAGATAGTTACTTCGATTCGAATTCATCAAGTTCTACTATGAAATACTGTATTTGATTAAAAATTTCGTTTATCTTTTTTTTTTTTTCTATATATCTTCAATTTAGGAATATATCGAGTAAACTTTTTTTCGTAGTCTATCTAAGAAAACTTTTCGTACGATAACTTTATCCTAAAGAATAAGATTATTTTGTACAGTTCTGCTTCAATTCTTTCTATTATTAAGTTAAATTTTTTTTTTCATACCTAAAATTCCATTGTCGTTCGTTTGCTGTTTCTTGTAATTTTCCTTTTGTTTTGTGAAAATATGCTTGATATTCAATATTTAATTTTTTACTTTCTTGAATACGATTAATAAGATCTTGTCTGTAATTAAGAAATAAATTACAATACAAAAAAAAAACAACTTATTATTCGAAAATTTCTTTACTTTGGAATATCCCAAAGACGCGTACAACCGTTTTTTATGTAACGTTTACATGTATTGATCATTTGATTTGTAATTTTAACAAATAAAGATGTCATTCGTTCGGATGAATTATAATATTGTGAAATACTATGTATCATTCGAATAGCATTCATTAAACTAGGTATATTTTCAGCAATAGCATTCTAAAATAAAATTTATAATAAAATTGTAGAAGAAAAATTCGTAAAATAATTCTTACTGGATTATTTTTATCAAGTGTACTAAAAAATTTATCAAGTGTATATAAATATCGAACATTATCTTTGGCTTCATTTGCAGCATCAGTTATTCGAGCGTCCTAATTAAACAAAAAAAAGAAAACATGAAAATTAAATATATATTTTATTAATTAAACATACTAAATCTCTCCAACGATTAATTGATTTTGATTTAGCTGATTGAAGAACACCAACAACAGCACGACATCGAGGAGATTTGATTTGTTCTAATAAGTTATTAAATGTAGCCATCCGTTGTTTCCAATGAATTAATTCAGCAGATGCTATATTTAAATTTGATTATATTTTTCATATATTAAAATTCTTAATACTTACGTCCAACATCATCAGCTTCACGTCGAATTTGTTCACTTTCAGCTAAAATCTACAATTTAAAAAAAAAGATTGTTTTTTTTTTTGTTTATTTATAGTAATTTTCTACTTTTTCAATTTGTTTACACCATTTTTCCATTAATTTTTCACATTCATTTATAAAATCTCCATTTTGTGCCATTGTTTGGTAATCGTTTGGTGTTGCTAATGTTGATAGTGTACTATCATTATCACTTGCTGCTAATTTTACTTGATGAGCTATAGAGGCATATAATAATATTTAAAAAAAATGAAAACAACGAATTATTTTTACCTATATTATCACTTGCACCATTAACAGTCGCTGTAAATTGAGACATAGCATCAAGAAAATCTTGTACATTAATATTACTACGAGCTTTTAAAGCTCCCCAATCCTTTAAAATAAATAAATTTATTTTTAGTTTTGAATTAAATTAATCAAAACAAACTTCATATTGTTGAAATAGTGGAATTAACATATTTGCTAATAATTGATCAATAGATTCAAGCATTTTTCCATTCGATGCATCTAATTGTCCAAATACAACTTCATTAACAATATTAGTAGGTGTTATTGCTTTTGTTTGATTTGGACGAACAAAATAATAAAGAACACCGGTGAGTTGCTAAAGAAACAAAAAAAGAAAGTCGTATTCAAAAATAAATAAAAAGAAATGAAATTAAAAATTAATACCATTGATTCATCACCGGTACTAATCATAACACGTTTTTTTGGTCCAGTATTTGCTAAACGACCATAGACTGGTTGATTTGGTTCTGGATTCTATTTAAATTAAAGAATAAAAAAAGCACAAAAGAAAAACAAATTTCAATTTACTTTTGATTCTTGATAATAAAACATTAATACTCGACGTCCACCAGCAAGAAAAAAATCATCAATACAATCAAACTATAAACAAATGAGTCGTTTTTAAAAATAGTTTTATTAAATATATAGAAATTACTTTATCATCTCCTAAAATATGATCTTCAACTTGTGATGGTTCAATACCAATCGCTTCAGCGAGCTAAAATTATTATGATTCAATATATAATAAAAAAAAAAAAAAAGAAAATTTTCTTAAATGATCTTACACGTCCAAAAAGATATTCATGTCGAGCATCGATCTATAAATAGAAGAAAAAGAAAAAAAAAGAATTGATTAACAAAAATAAAGTTATTGTAAAATAACATTTTTACCGTTGCACGTCGTTCATCACGAAGAGCTTTAGCTTGTCTAGCAATTTCATGTTGACGATCACCACCAACTATTTTACTTTTTGTCTAAAAATATACCAATAATAATAATAAAAACTTCTTTTTTTTCCAAAGAAATTCTTACTGGTGCTACTGTAGCTGCAGCAGTTGTTGTAGAAGTTGGAGCTTGAGTTACACCAGCAGAACCTACAGGTCCATTTGCAACAGCATCAGCTATTCAAAATGAATTAATTAGAAGAATTTTTCATTTGTATTTGAAAAATTAACTAACTTTTTGTACTAACAAGTGGTGGTGCAACTTCACCACCATTTGGAAGATCAGCCATCTATATGAAGGAAAAATATTAAGAAATTTTTTATAATTTATCGGGTTTCATTTACTTTTCGACAAATTAATTGTTTTTGATACTAATAATTGATACAGAGCTATAAGAAAATTTAAATAAGTATACTCTAAAAAATGTTGTAATAAATGAGTTCGTTTTGATTATATCATTGCATAAAACAACTATACATAGAGACAATCTCGAAGCATTTCGCTTGCACTCTCTCTCTCTCTTTTCTATTTTTATGAATTTTCAGTATTTTAACAATGAAATTCTTTTTTTTTCTCCCTCTTTCTCTCTCTCCATTGCCTAGTTGCAAAGTTGCATTGTGATTGTTTAGATATGAAAAAAAAAAAGGAATAAGGACAAGTTCTGTTTGTGTTTCTATCAACACTGATTTCTTTACTGCCATGTTCTGTTCTCTTTTCTTTCTACTTATTCTTTTTTTTTTTCAAGAGCATAAAATGATTATAGTTGTAGTGAACTATAGGTAAAAGAGAGAATCAATCAAACTTATTCTCTCTTCTTGTTTGAAGACGAAATCATATGAAATTGAATAAAAAAAATGTTGATGTTATTGTCTGCATCTACGAAGAGATTGCTGCCAACAGTTGTTAACGATCCTACTGGTGCAAATTCCATTATATATAAATATAAATGTTTATTTCACTTGCACAGCGAATATTTGCATTTATTTGTTCTATCAATTTTTTTTTCAAAAGAAAAATTCATCCAAAAAAAAAAGCTAACAACGCAAAAAAAACACAAAACACAGAATTGAAATGTGAATATGTGAGGAGACACAAATGAAAAAAAAATATCAAACACCGTGGTAAAGATTTGCATACCAAAAAAAAAACAAGAGATCAAGGTTCTACAGCAAGACAAAGAAGAAGAAGGAGAAAAAAACACTGATTAATAATCATATTTTATAAATTTGTAATCGACTGAGCACTTTCACAGCTATATAATTTGAACCTAATCGAGCAATATTTCTTATATAACCACCTTTACCATTATGATCAATAACTGTTTTTATTGTTTCATCATCATTAAATAAATAAAAACGTTCTTTATAATCTGTTGCCATCCATTGATTTCCATTCATATATGATAATAAATGAAGGTTTGAATCAGAATTAATTCGTCGAAGTAATTTCATATGATAATCATATAAACATATACGATAACCAAAATTAAGACCACATATATTCAACGCTAAAAAATAAGAGATAGAAATGAAAAAATTTATTAAACAACAATAAATCTTTCTTAATCAAAGTTAATATAGAATAATCCAAAATAAAGTCAAATCTTTATTTATCATTACCTTTGTAAAACACTTATTCGGTCTCATTGTTGTTTTCTATGAATCCTTTGTAGAATGGTTTTATTTACTCTTTTTTGTTAGTACATTATTTTAACAAGTTCTATTTAAATAATAATAAATCATTCAAACGTAATACTTTCTTATGTATAAATATTTAATCAAATAGCAAAATTCGATACAAGAATGAACGAAGAGATTTTTAATCATATAAGCTACGAGAGATCGTTTTAACTGGCGGCGAAGTCAGAAAACTAGCGTTTCTATTGTTTATACCCTGGACAATGACAGGTGGAACTCTCGCTAAGTGCATCGTGTTATCAAGAATAAACGATATCAATAAAGTAGATGCACTTTCCAAAACAAAAGTGAAGTTAGTATTCTAGGTTCGCCGTTAGCTGTTATACTGATGATTTGTATCCTGTATAATAGAACACACGTAGCGTCAGTGCTGCGTATCCTTGTCTATCCAAAACATGAGGCGATGTACCAATTCTAAGACCACGTTTTCAACGATGACCCTTTTAGTATTAAGAACTCACAGATTCATGTCAGCCGTGTTCAGTCCGATGCTATCATTTGATGTATTTGAAAATTGGCTGAGTTTTATCTGAAAACTCCTAAATGTCGACTGATTCTGAAACTCATGTTTTAGACTCAATAAAATCTAATGATAACGTTGGATAACACAATCAAAACTGTTATAAAAAATCTCACAGAACAAGAAATTCTCAGTACTAAAAAAGGTCATCTTTGAAACCACTATCTAGAAATTGATGCATCCATAAACACGACGAAGCTGCTGTATGCAATCACAAGAAGATTGTTTTATTCTATCCGTTTTAGGACACGTTTCTTCACCATCCTTTTACTTAATCTTCTAGAAATGCAATGATATACGGTCTTTGATCGTATATCGACAAGGTCTGTCTCAGTCTGTGAAGATTACCCCTGTACTTCAACATTCGCTTTATATCGTGTTTCACAAAAGCAATTGATAAGTTGAAAACATTTTCTCGTTAGTGTATTGTCTAAATCGAACACTATATAAGCCATTCGTATAAAATTACTCAATGGCTTTCGAATAATTCTATGAAACTATCATTCAAAACTAACAATTTAACTGAAAATCATCATGTTATTATAAGAGCTTCTGTGAATATTTTAGATTTATTTTTGCTAACACTTACTAGCGTAACCAAGAATGGGCTAAGTCGAGTAGTGCCTTACTACTGATCGTCTTCGTTCTATCACCCATAATCTCTTGGTTACGCCACTGCTATTACTTCTCTCATGATCTTTTATTTTGTTTATCAATAAACATGAAAAACAAAAAGAAAAGATGATTTTCGGTCGTGTTTAATTAAGATTTTGTATCATTAAACTAACCTATCATAATATGATTAGCACGAATACGTGATGTTAAACGAAAATTTTCACGACAAAATTCTTTCTCTGGCCAACCTAAAAAAAAAACAAAAATAAAATATGTAGGTACTTCTTTCGAGAGTGTACTAAACTTTACATCAACTTTATTAGAATGGTATGAAACTTTCAGAGCTCGTGTCTATAAGCATAACTATGGATTAAAAAAAATATGAAAACCTTGCAAAGGGTTTTGGTATGTTGGATTACTCAGTCAAAATGGATCTTGTCTAACTCCTCTATTTCAAATGATAGAAGTCTGAAAATTTTACCATAGATTATAATTGTTAGGATGATTAGTTTTGTAGCGAACGCTGTTCACCTCTATGTTCTGTTTTTTGCACTCAAATATCTCTATGGAATGTAAATAGAATTTCAACTCTTATTAGTGTTCAAGGATTGTGTAACCATTCTGTATCTAATGCTAGAACTTTCAGAGCTGTAGCTTGTTTCTGGACTGAATGGTAAAGTCATCTTCAAATTTTTGGCAAGTTTGCACCCCCCTCAAAAAAACTCACAGGATTCCAAAAACCTATCCTATAGTGAGAATTCATTAGTATACCCAGTTCTATCATTCCTGAAATTTTTGTTTTTGATCAGCACGTTTTGACCAAGAAAACTGGTCTTGAAGTTTTTTGAAGAAAATGACTGTTATAAATACCATACAAAATCTTCAAGGTTGCTTTTCTCGACTGAATCGCATTGAGCAAAAACGAAAATTTCAGGAGTCATAGAGCTAAATGTACTAATGAATTTCTACTCAATGACAGGTTTTGAAAATCCTGTGATTTTTCTTGAAGAGAGTGCATAATTGTGAAAAATTCGAAAGTAAATTAGAGTCAATATAAACTTTGGTACATTATCGAAAGAAGTACTCATATTCAATATAGAAAGAAAAAAAAAAGATTTTTTATTTACGTTTAATTAATTTCCAATTGAAACTTTTTGATATAGACCATCGTTCAACACATTGTCCATTACCATTAACTAAAAACATAATATTATCTGAACAAGTTATTGAAGAAAATTTTGATCGTTCGATTGGTTTAACTTTATCAATAATAGTTAATGAATATTTTACTGGATCATATATAAATAAAAGATATTGTGTTAATACAAGATAATAGCCTAATGTTTCACACCAACATAAATCTCGAATAAAATCACCTGGATGTTGAACTTTAATTTCTAATTGATGAAGTTTTTCTTTTTCATTATATAATATTAAACGTGCACCATCACGTAATAATATATTCGAATTAGAACATGCCATAGCAAGATTATCTGTTACTAATGAATATTCATTAATTGGTTTTTGTTTAAAAATTTCTTCATAATTTATATATTCATCATCATCATCATCATCGTCATCATTATCATTATCATCTTGATCAGAAAATATATTTTGATTATGTAATTTTGGTTGAATAAAATAATCAAGTAAATGACGTGTTAAAGATAATTTTTGATTTAATTCTTCAATTTCATTTGGTATTAATATTCGATTATGACTATGATTATGATTATTCGATAATAAATTTTCATTTAATAAATTTTTTTGTTCAATTTTAAATGTTTCATATTCATGAAATGTTTGAGAACATATTAAATCAATTTGATTTTTTTTCTTTTGATATATAAATGATATATGTTCTATACGATCAGATTTCCATTCATCAATTATTGAATAAAAATTTAAACGTTGTGTTTCAAATGGTATATTCGAAGATGATGATAATGGAAGATTTTTATTATCTATTGATGAATATTTAAATAATTCAGTTTCATTTGTTAATTGTTTTATTTCCGAATTAATTGTTTTTAAATAATTAACATCACAATGTGAACATGATGAATGAAAGCATTGTGGAATTGATGATGATGATGGCGATTTATTTTCTAAGCATGAAATCTTTGTAGAATTTTTTTTTTCAACAATCATTGTTGATTCATCTTGAAATACCATTATGAAGTTTTTCTTTTAAGAAATTTAAGATGTATATATATTTTTTTTTGATTGATTATTGAATCTATTATGTATATTATATAAAATAAAAATCAACAAATGAAAAGAGAATCCATTTTTTACAGCATTATGAATTGCTCTTTTGCATTTTTTGTATACTCTAGATGACACTACATTATCGTATCTTAGTTACGAATATTAATTTATAAATGTTTATGCAAAAAAAAAGACAATTGCAGATTATGAAAACAAAAAAGAATTGAATGGATTTATTGACGTTAAAAAAAGAGAATATTTTTGTAGATTATTTATGGAATTTTAGAATCTTTTCATTGTTGCCTGGAAAAAGACTTATTATAGGAAAGAATATATCAAATGAGTAGAAAGATAGTTCTCTTTTTCATGTTGAAGATGTGTAATATTGCATGTTATTGAGATTTTGTTTATTTAGCGGAAATTTGATGCTAAGGTGCATGTAATTATGAGATAAGTACTAGAAGAAAAATGAATGCATGATAGCATTTCTTACAAAGAATGCATTTTATAGAAATAATTTGCTAGAGTGCCTCTAACAAAATGTTTCAAGAAGATTGTAACAATGTTATTTATAAGTATCTATCACTATGATCCTGATAGAGAAAATATGTTATTATTTTTTAAAGTAATTCGTGTGTAATGATTAGTAAATGTCATTAGTGATATGATCAATGCATTTGTTTTACATAAAGGAATATAATAAATATTGAAGATTTAGTATGTAATTGAAAGTATCTTCATTGATCCATCTAGACTAACAGTTTACTTTTAATATTAGTTCTATTTCTGTTTAAAAAGATTTTCTTATTCTATGAATAGTTTTGAGATAGTCTTTGAACTAGTCTATAAGTTAGTAGTTTTATTTTCTACTAAGATTATTTTTGTATCTATATTTGTCCAAATAACCAAAATTAAAATGTAAACGAGCAAAATTTACACTTTAAATTACTTTCTAGTCAATGTCAAATTAACATATAAAGTGCTGTAGAAATAATCTAACATAAAAAGAATAGAATATCTCTACTGTATTTTGATCAAATGAGTTAATTATTTTTCTTAATGACAAAGGAGAGTTTTTAGGTTTTTATTCATGAGCAAGAAGTTTAACAATATCGCTTAAACCTATCATTATCTACTTAAAGGAATAAAAGTTAGATTTTCTAGCAAAGTTAAACGATAGATTTTAGGCGTCTGTAATATTATTCAAATTGTCATGTTATTCAATTTTTTCAACTCTTAAAATAATTTTTTTGCAATATTTTAACTTTTCCAAGACTTCACATCATCCACTTGGAAGTCCTTATACAGAAAATTCTCGAAACATCCATATGATTACATTTATCTTTTTCCAGTAGTTTGACTCTAGCACATTCATTTGCTGATGAAAATAGGAAAATCGTTTTACCGAAATGATCACCAGCGCAAAAAGTTCTACCAGACCAAATATATATAAACAAAAATTTTCAGATATCTACATTTCTTGTCGTTGACTGCTGATAGAAGTATCCGAAAAAAAAATGTCAACTTTTCAATTAAAGTAACGGGTGATCGAAAAGTTTTTAGACAATATGTTTATTCACCTTTGATCTGTTAGAAAGTGTTTCCGATGAGTCAAAAGCTATGATTGGTCGCTCTTTTTCGAATATGGACTTCGAAATTTTGTCTCAGTTTTTTCGTTCAAGAGCAGTGAAATAATCTTTGAAAAGCCTAAAAAATAGTCTGGACAGAAAATTTTTGTAGTCTCACTATTGCAATTCGAAACTAAAAGTTGGAATCTTCGTTTATATATCAACTTGTAGATCAACAGCTACCCTATTTAAAATGTTTTCTTTTTGTCTTTCAACAAGACATCTTAATTTTTGTTTTTCTTAAATACTCTATTTGAAAAATTGACAATTGTTTTACGTTGTAAAAGTGCTTGAGTAAAAGCTATAGCTTAGTTCAATATTACATTTTGTAGAGAATTGTTCGCTCTACAAAATGAACAAATTCGATAGTTTTTAGCATGTTTGAACAGAGACTTATAGAGTAAAGAAAAGCCTTTAGGTTCAGCATTAAAAATAATTGTTCAGGTCTTTCAAAAAGTTCCACACTACTCTTGAACAAAAATAGACAGAACATTTGTAAGCCCATATTCAAATATTGGTCGTGACCTTTAGTTTTTAGCTCGTCTGAAATGCTTTAACAAATATGTTGACTGGAAACGGCGGTTTACAAGTTCCGTCTAAATTAATCTTTTTTGGCTTTTCAAAGATTATTTCATTATTCTCAAACAAAAACTAAGACAAAATTTCTAAGACCATATTCGAAAATAGCACAAAATTCTGCTCTCATAACTCATCGAAAATATTTTTTAGCGGGTCAAAAGTGAACAAACATCTTCTCCCAAAACTTTCCAATCATCGAGTAAATAGTGCTAGATTTTAAATGTGTCAAACAGTTAATGATTTATGAATGAAACCTTGCCCTTTTTCTCTATCATCACAAAAAAAGCTGTTCGCATAAGCCCTGTGGGATTAAAATATGGAACACAATGTAGCTGCTGTTACTAATTATAGAGAAATTGTTTTACTCTATCTATTTTGGGACATATTTTTTCATTCGCTTCTTACTTAATCCGTCAGACATATAACAATGAAGTAGTTAATATATTGTAACGAGTCGTTATTGATAGAGTGTTTGTCGTCGCATATCAACAACGTCTGTCACAGTCAGTGGGGGAAGAAGTGCAGATTTCTATACTATATACTTCAACACTCCTTTTAGATCAACAATGAAGATATTCCATTAGTTTTCTTTTTGTTAGATTATTTTCGAAACATTTCAGATCATTAATGTTTCATCCATCGTTCTCTTATTCATGAAATTGAATCAAATATACTTTTAATAACTGTTGTATTTTTTTCTTTTTTTGTTAAATCTTTTCGTATGTTGACAAAAAAATCTCGGCTGACAAATCAGCACACAAGACAAAGAAAGAAAAAAAAACACGAGAAGAAAAATGTAGAATAGAGACAAAAGAAGAAAAACAGTGTGTACATATATATGAATAAATCCGAAGTACGCAACAAGAAGTTATATATAAGTACACATCGAGCACGCATAGAAAATAGTTTTATTTTAGTTGTTTTTTTTTTTGTCTACACATCTGAGAGAACAATTCCATATATGAAGACAAGAAAGAAGGAAAAAAAAACGAATTAGGCAGTAGAACTAAAAACATGCCAAACAGACGAAAGAAAAAAAAGAGTGAAAGTGACATAACAATGGTCAATCAAGAGAAGAATATCACATCGAGAAAGAGCCAAAGAAGAACAGCAAAAAAAAATTTTTTTAAATTTGTTTTCTTTCTGTTATACATAAATATAAACAAGAAAAATAAGAAGAGTTGGAAAAAGAAAACAAAAAAGGAAAAATCATTGTTTTGATGATTGAGATGTTGATGACTGCATATGTTGACGAGCATAATTTGCAGCCATATCAGCATAGCTGTTCGGAGAACTAAAGTCATTTTTTTTAAATACAAAAATTAAAATTTTTCTTTTCTTTTTTCTTCTCACAATCATCTCTTACATGGAATTAGTCGTAGATGATTGAGATGAAGAAGAAAGCCCAGTAGCTTGTTGCATATACATATCATAGTACTGTAAATAAATTGATTGAAATAATTCAGGTGTTGATAATGGTGGTGGAGGTGGTGGTGGTGGAGGAAGAAGTGATGGTGGTGGTGGCAGTGGTGGTGGAGGATTTTGTGATGAACGATTATTATTCATATTGTTATTACCACCGGAACGATTTGATGATGATGATGATCGAGATTCATCATAGGGTGGTGGTGGTTGAGAAAAATTACTTTGATATGATGAACGATTATTATAGGATGATTGATCATAACGTGATGGCATTGAATCATAACGACGAGGTCCACGAGAAGAATTACTAAAATAAAAATAATATTTCTTTAATAAATACAAAAATGATTGAAATTAAATTTATACTTGTCCCGATCTCGATCTCGATCTCGATCTCGATGATAATTACTACGATAATCAGATGATAAATCACCGGCTGATTCATGATAAGGTCTTCGATTATTATTATTTCCACTTGTATAATGTCGATTACGATCAAATTGATGATGATGATGATAATGATGTGTATCATAATCTGATGTTGTACCTGTATTTGTTGAACCAATTGTATTATTTAATTGTTCAGATCTTGTAGATTTTGATAATGGCATTGTTAATGAATGTTTAAGACGAGAATCTTTTGTATTACGATTATTATTTGATTGTGGTGATGAACCCCAACCAGCTTTTCTATATGTTTCATCTTGTTCTGCTTGACGATTTTTCGTATTTGATTGTGAATATTGATTATATTGTTGTTGTTGTTGTTGATGATGATAAGATGATTTTTGTGTTTGATTTGATGTTAAACTTTCTTCATCACGTTTTTTTGTAAATATTCGATAATATTTTCTTAATTGACTATCAGTTAATTTTGTTGTAAATTTTGAAACAAATGTCCATAAATGATGACGATATGTTTGACAATCATCATTTGTTTTAGTTTTAAGAACAGTTTCAATTTGATCACCAATTGTTAATAAACATTTTTCAAATTCTTTTGAATAATCATCATGAGAATCAAATGCATCTTCAGGTGCATCAAGTCTACTAAGCCATTTTTTTACTGGTCGAAGTAATTCTTTACACTAAATTATAAAATATTCGAGAATAAAATGAATTAAAGATATGCAAATTTCAAAGTACAAAAATTTTGATTGATTAATAAATATAAATTCGAAATTTTGAATTAAGAAGTTTTTTTTATCTTTATCGAAAGGTCGATCTTATTACATCTGATCATGCGCAGTTTAAACCCATATTGGAATCACAACGAGGTCTTGGTAATAATCAAAAAATCTGAAAATGGTTCGTGCTCATAGATCCCTAGAGTCAAATTGTGATCATTTTACTGAATTTTCGATTCAGCTTTAGGTATTTACCAAATACAGAATATTTATTGAGATACGGAATTTCTAAGAAATGATCTTTTTCTACAAAAATTGAGTTTACTTGAATATCCAATATCTCGACAAAGAAATATTCTTTTCGACTGAAACTATTAGGATATAGCCAAAGTCATTAGATCTATCCTATGGACAAAGTTTCAGATCGAAATTCTGTTATTTGAGTTTTCGATAAATACCTAAAGTTGGATCAAAAATTCAGTAAAACGGTCATAATTCAGCTCCACAGGCCCATGGACACGAACTCTTTTGGAATTTTTCTAGTCCTACCGAGACCTTCTTGTGAACTCAATATAAGCTCAAACGACAGGTATCACTTCAGATAGTTCCTTTGTAGGTTGCTACGTTATTCGGTATGTGTTCAATAGGTATTGTGCACAAACCTCGGTACCGCTAGCCATGGAATGATTCTGAATAAGTCATTAACGGCTGTTTGCCTTGGATCACTCGTACCCTCGTAGCTAGAATATGGTTAATCAATGTATGTATGAGGAGCTTAAGCGATTGAGTGCAAGAGCTCTGCGTCAAGTTGGTACTCTGTTCAGATCTACACCTAGTCATATTTGTAATGAAGATATCGAACTAATGAGTCTGCTGCTAAATAGTATCTCATACCGCAAGATAGCGGAATCACATTTTTTGACTACGAAAATTGTTTTTAACTAGTATGTATACTTCTTCTTGTCCTAGTTGTTAACAAGAATATCTCTTTGATGATTTATTTTTTTTAAACTTATTTATCATAATCATTCCAAATTCACTTATTTTTACCTGTTTAAACATATCATTAGATGAATTTTCTTCTTCTTTCTTCGGAGGTTTCGTTACCTAAAATTCGAAATAATAAAAAGAAAAATCTAGTAGCTTTTTTTTTCTTTTACTTTGTCTTCCACATTTGGATTACTACGATGTTCTATAGATTTCTTTTTACTATATTTATTCGTTGTTATATCTTCATCTCCACTGGAATTTTCAATCATTTCTTTTGATTTTGGTTGTTTTTCATGATTACTAATCGTTGGTCCATTAGCACGTCGTTGTCGTTTTGTTGAATGTGATCCATTTATATTATCATCAGTTGTCAGTTTTGTTTTTTTTATTGATGTTTGCATAATAGAAGTTTTCTTCTTTGTTATATCTTTTGTTTTATTTAATTGATTATCATAATATTGTTTTAATAAACGTAAAAGATAATCAGCACGTGTTTGTAAATGATTTGCTTGTGGTTTTAATTGTTTATCATCTAAAAGAATTTTTGATGAAAGACCTAATTCTGGTTCCATTTTAATTTGTTCCCAATTTGAATAACCATATTCATATATACCACGTAATAATGCTTTATCATCTTCTAATGACCATGAACATGACCAATGAACTGGTTTTATTTTAATTAATGATGGAAATGTAAATGTTTTACGTTGTTCATTATGTGAATGAAAAAGTTTTTTTAATGGTTCTAAATCACGTGTTGAATTAATTAATTGTAGTGCATTTATTGTAACATTATGTAAACGTATTGTTGGGATTTTATCACGTTGATTTGTTGTTGAGTCATCTTTAGGTGATGATGATGTTTGAGAATTTTGTATTGGACTTGTTTCATTTGTATGTTGTTCAATAGCTAATAAACATTCATTATATATATGTTGTGCTAATTGTTCAATATCTTGTTGTGATTTATCTTCTAATTCAGCATCCATTATAATTAAATCAAGACGATGTAATGGATTAGAAAATTTTTTAAAACTTTTAACAAAACGTCGTATTTCATTTGTTGTAAATTCATTTAAAATATTATCTATATGTGAAAGTTGATTTGTATTATTATTATTATCTAAATCAGATTTTGAATTAAATAATTTAACTGGTTTTCGACTACGTGGTGGTAAAACAGCTGTTAATTCTGCTAAACATTCATCTTCAAATTTTTGTCGTTCAGTTTCAGGTATAATATCTTTCCAACTTTTTGTTTTTTGTACTATTGTTGTTGGTTCAATAATATCATCTTCCATTGTTTGTATATTAGCTATTTTAAATTGTGATAATAAATCTTCACTACTATTACGTATTGATGTATCATCATCTTGTCGTGTTTCAGCACGACGAAGAATTTCATCAATATCAATTTTTTGTGATTCTTCTTCAACTGTACCTTCATCATTTGTTGATGTTTCTTTAAATAAATCTTCAGCACCAAATTTAATTATTGTATTTAATTCTTCTCTTGTTAATGAACGATTATCAGTTGTTGATGTATTATTAAAATTTTGAAATGCATTACGACCTGTTGTATCCATACGTTGTATAACTAAATGATCTAAAACCATTTTTTGTTTTGCACGTTCAATTATTGTTTCTTCAACAGATTGTTTAGCAACAAGACGATATATATTTACTTGTTTTGTTTGACCTATACGATGTGCACGAGCTTGAGCTTGTAAATCATTTTGAGGATTCCAATCACTATCATATATTATAACAGTATCAGCTGTAGCTAAATTAATACCTAAACCACCGGCACGTGTTGAAAGAAGAAAAATAAAATCTTCAGAAAATTCACGATTAAAACTATTTAATGCTTGACGACGTATTTCACCTTTCATTGAACCATCAAGTCTCTAGAATAAAAAATTAAATATTTGAAACAAAAAAATATTCAAGTTTTCACTTAGAAGATTAATCGTTTACTCCCTATTTCACAGTGGACAATTTCTATAGAGAAACGTAAACATGATTAATACGATCTAAAAGAAGTGTTGAAGTATATAGGGTAAAAATATGGACTACCCAAAGGTCATATATCAATAACGTCTCGTTAAACTACTGGTGTTTTATGCTGACAGATTTTCTATCAAAGATGCAATTTTCTATCATAGAAATATTAATTTCTAGTAATCAACAAAAAAAAATTGATAGGAAAAAAAGTGAAATTCATAAAAGAACATTTTCGATGGAAAATATATGAGAGGACTGTTAGCCGAAACTTTTGTCGGAAAAATTTTTTATTTTGTAAAAATTAAAAAAAATGTTATATCATTCGATGAAATTTTTCGAGTGTGGAGTTTAAGGGGACCCCCCCTTTCCGGCGTTTTTAAGAAACGGCCGAACGAAAATTCCTGAAACTTGCAGGGTAGATAGACCTCGAGTAGTAGAGCAAAAGTTGTCATAGACACAAATTTGTCAGACGTCATCTTCATGGACTTCCAGAGACCCCAAGGTCAAAAACTTGCAAAAAGTTTTCCCCCCCGCAAATCCACAAATTTCATCCGTTTGAGCTGAAATTTTTGCTGTGGGTAGACGGACCCAATCGGGGTGGGCGTTTTTTTTTTTTTTCAAAAATTCCAAATACTTCAGGCTGGAGAACCAAAATACTGAGCACCTTGCAAAATCTCTAGGTTTTTTGAATCCTAAAAATTTTGCGAAGCCTGCCAAACTTGATTGGTAGAAGGTATCCAAAAAAAAAAAAAACGCCCAACCCAAATCACTTGAAGTCTCACCAAAACAATTTTCAGCCCGATCGGACTTGAAATGGCGGAGAAAAAGGGGGAAAACTTCATTTTTTTGCTGAAAAAACTGATTTTGAGAAAAACGCAAAGAAATTTGTGTTTTTTTGGTTTTTTCAGCATATTTTGTGATTTTTTTCGAATTTTTTATATATAAGATGTGGTTTTTCAGTTCTCAAAATGTACTCAATGGATAGAGGGCATTCAAATCTATATGCTAATCACAAAAAATGAAAAATGAAAAATGTGAAAATTTTGAGTCGGGAAAGGGGGGGGGGGTCCCCTTAAATAAGAAGAATAACTACATTCACATCCTACTGCATCATTTTTTTTCAATATGTTCCCTTTCAGTCTTTCTACAATCAAGTGTCTAACCATATATCATCCTTCGAAATGAATCATTTTTCAAAAAAAATAATTTAATTTTTATGTCATTCAAAACGAATAGGTTATTTTTGATCCGTTCTGCACATGTCCGTAGTGAAAGAACTTCGTCCAAATTTAGCTATACCAGTGTAAAAATTAATACTCGCACAAGCTATTCTCGTTATTGACTCAACATCAACTCTACTGGATGAGTACCGAAGGCTAAAAGATTAAAATTTTTAGTCTAAACTATAACCGGGTTACTGTTAATAGTAGAACAAAATCTTATGAATTTGTTTTAGTTTTTATAAAGATGTGACAAAAAGATTGTATAATATGCAAGAAAGAAACAGCGCGATTCAAGTACTTCGAAGTACTGAAGTCGAGCTTTTTCTCCTTTGATCATAACATCATATTTCTACTTATTTTTATTGATAATTGTTTCCATTATAGTTTTATAATGACTCAAATTTTGTCAGTATGATCAAACATTAGAAAGTTTTTTTTTTTTTTTACAATTGATGTAAACAATAGAAAACTATAAACAGCAAAGATTGCAGTTTCAAACTCCATTGTTTCTTCGTAAACTACACAATATAAATATCAACTCATTATGTCGTACCAATCACATCATTCTCTGAAAAGATTTAAGAAAAATTTTATTTTCGTCAATCTATTTTACACGTAATTCTAATTCATTATATCATAACTGTGTTGTTTCGTTTTTGTTCTCACTTAATTTTTAATATATCAAAAGTTGTTCTTCTAAAAAAAAAAACTTAATAATCTTACCTGGAATGGAAATCGTCTTAATTTACAATATTCAGCTAAAATATTAAGCATTTTAACCATTTGTGAAAAAATTAAAACTCTATGATTGCTTGCACGTAATTTTAATAAAAGTTTATCTAATAATAATAATTTTCCACTACCTTTTATAATTTCCTAAAATAAAATAAAAATTTTTTTTTTGTTTTCTTTCTTTCTTTATTTTTTTTTCTTACATCAAGTGTTGTACTATTTTCATCATCACGTTTAACAAAAAATGCATGATTAGCACATTTTTTTAATTCCATCATAATATTAATAAATGATGGTAAATTTCCACCACGTTCATTTGTTAAAGCACGATAATTTCTTGTTAATATCCATTTATAATATTGTTTTTGTAAACGTGTCATTTCAACACGTAAAATTTGTTCAACTTTGGCTGGTAGTGATTTTTCAACATCACGTTTAATACGTCTTAATAAAAATGGTTCTAATTCTTTATGTAATTCACTTGAACGTTTAACTAAACTTGTATCATTTGTTGTTAATAATGATGAATATTTTGAATCAAAATTATTCCAATCATCAAAATAATTTGGCATTATAAAATGTAATAATGACCATAATTCTTTTAAAGAATTTTGTAATGGTGTACCTGTTATTAATATACGATGTTGAGATTCAAATTGTATTAATGTACGATAAAGCATTGAATCATCATTTTTTAAACGATGTGCTTCATCAACAAGTATAGCACTCCAATTAATTGATGATAAATATTTACTATCTTTTAATAAAAAATCATATGTTGTTAATAATGCATGAAATTTTAATTGTTTTTTATTTCCAGATGCATACATTTCAAAATGACGAATTTTTTCACGTGATATCATATCACCAATATATACAATTGTATTCGTATGTGGTGCCCAACGGTGAAATTCTTGTTGCCAACCTTGTATTGTTGATAAAGGAACAACAATTAAAAATGGACCATGAACATTATGTTCTTCGAATATATAAGAAAGAAATGATATGGTTTGAATTGTTTTACCTAAAGAAGAAAAATGAAAATTTTTATATTTATATAAATAGAATATTTTAAGAGGGCGTTCCCTCCAGCAGAAAAAAATTGCTAGCAGGACTAAAATGTAAAGCATCATGTAGCTACTCTTGCTAATTACAAGGAGATTGTTGAATAAGACGTTATTGATATACGGTCTGTGACATTTGTCATGGTTTATAGGGAATGGATGCAAATTTCTATCCTATATACTTCAATACTTCTGTTAGATTATGCTTCAAAAAAAGTCAAATTTATTGATTTTGTGACTTATAGATCGGAAGTGTCTACTCTTGAATACACTATTGTTTATTGATTTTGTAATGAAAGTCTTACAAGTTTTTCTATTGACTTTTGGTTGTACTGAACATGACTGAACATTTATACCTACATCTTTATGTGTTCATTTGATTCGTTCTAATTGATGGTCTATGACAAATTACTCGAAGATTCTTTTTATATCTATTGATGGAGGAAGAAGTCTTGAATTACAGTGTTGAAACTTATTTTTGTTTTTCTTATAAAAGCGATTTTGTTATTGTGATCTTTTCGTGCGTTTCAAATTTCTTCCTAGAAAACTTTCTAACGCAAAAATTTATGACGCACGTTATAAGTAATCATGTTCATGAAAGATGAATCTTAAAAAACATTTTTCAATTTTATCTTTGGAATCTGTTTTTCTTAAAATTTCAAAAACAAAAAAAAAACAAAACAAAATCTTTTACCAAGTCCCATTTCATCAGCTAATATAACTGAATTTTGTTTACACCATGAATGAGCTAACCAATTTAAACCTTCTAATTGATAATCTCGTAATTTAAATTCTGGTTCATCAGGAGCTAAATATAATGGTTGTACTGTTATTGGTACAAATCTTGGTCGTATAATATTCGTTTTTTTTCTTGTACTACTACTTTGTTGTTGTTGTTGTTGTAATTGTAAATCTTCAGTTTGTTGTTTTAATCGTGCATTATATTCATCAATTCTTGTTTGAAATCTTTTTCCAATTAAATTTCCATCTTCCCATGTACAGTCACTATATTGAAGACCATCCCATTTACATAAATAATCATATACATTATCTTGTTCACGATTTTTTTCATGTGCTATTATACGTTCAACATGTTGATAGCCAGCTAATGCTGTATCATTTAATTCTTGTTGACATTCAAATAATTCAATTTCATCCATATTACGATTTTCACGACGCCATAAACGTGTTTGTTCATGTTGTTTAAGAAAATTTTCTAATATACGTGAACTTTTAACATGTGCTTGTTGTAAACTTGTATGACTTTCCCATGTATTATGTAAATGTGACCAATTTTTCCATTTAATTAAAAATTGTAGTTCACCATCAGGTTGTGTTTCATCATCACCATTATAATTATCATTTGGATCACCACATTCATCTATATTATATATAGTTGTTGATGGTCCAGTTGCATCTTTTCGACCAAAACGTACTTTTAAAACTTTTTCAATTATTTCTGATGATGGTTCGTCATTTAATAATGTTATACCTTCACCAGATGATGATAAATTATCTGATGAACGAAATTTTGTTTGACGTTTAGCTGTATTTGATTCAAGATCAGTTATTAAATTCATTTTTACTTGTTGTTGATATTCATTTGAATTTGATTCATCATCATCTTTATTATTTGTATGTATATTTTGATCAATATCACTATCAGAATTTGATGATAAATGACGTTGTTGTTTTTTTATTTTACGTCGTGTTTGATCATTTATATCATCATCATCAGATTCTTCATGATAATTTATTGGATTTGATGCAGCTGTACGACGAATTTTTCGTTTATTTATTGATGATGATATACTATTTGTATTCGATTGTTGACGACGAGCTTTTTTTGTTACTGATGCATAACTTGTTGATGATGATGTACGTTGTCGTTTACGAGTAGATGTTGATGATGAATTATTTGTAGCACTTTTCGAACGTTTTACCTTAAAAAGAAAAATAAAATCAAACATTTAATAGAATTTTTTCTTTTTTATAATGAAATATTAAAGCTAAATGATAATTTTATAAGTTTACTCTAGACAAGATATACTGGGTCGAATACCTAGAGCATAGATCCAGGTGCAAACTCATCGAATCGAATCAGATACCGGGTATGAAAAAGTGCCCGTCTGGATACAAAAAAAATCGTAAATAATGATTGCAATATCTAATATTTTGCAAATATCTTAGTATAGATAAATTGTATAATCTTTAAATTTCTTTTAAAAGATGCACCACGAAATTTTCGACAAAAGTAGTAATGAGAAATCCTATTGAGTTATTTTATAAGGTTAAAAGTGAAGCATTGTGTGATGGTGAAATATCGCGTTATTCTGAGAGAAGTAAAAATGAAAATAATACTAAAACAATAGCTTTCTTCTTCTTATTTCAAACAAAAAGTTTTTCATGATATTATCATTTGCTTTCTAAAAATAATTGAAACAAAATAACATAAAAATCATAAAAATATGATCACTATTATGTTGTTCAATGGCACGAACTCTTTGAAGAAAGGAACTGATCACGTTACAAACATAACTCACATCAATTTTTTGGCATGTTCTTTTTATTTCTTTTTTTAAAATCTTCTCGTGTTTTGACCTTGTGAAAATCAGTGTTTTTATTGACACTATCCCAGATTGAATAAGCTAAGAGACTCAAGTCTGATGAGTTAGAAGATCGTCGATCTTTAGATATAAACGACCGACTTGAAGTTCTTTTTCCAGACATCAGCTTTAATGATCAAATAACTGTTTATTTTCAATCTGATAAAAATAGTAACAATTTATCACGATATACTATACAAATTGTAGAGAATTTCACAACGCATGTTTTAAAAAAAATTAAAGATTGTAAGATTTATCTCTGTTGAGATATTTGAAAAATACTAGATGTTGCAATCCTTATGACTCACCTGATTATAAGGTTCTGATTGCAAAAATTTATCATATATATTATAGATGTCACATCAATTTTGTTTAATAACATACAGTCTTACATCTGACATCATGTTTATTGAAGAGATATACATCAAATTTGGATAACAATTATTATCTATCAACAACAGAGCCTAGAATATTCTCACATAATACATGAAAAAAAAAGACCGAATTGACTGATAAGGAATTTCTCTAGGTCTCAAAATGCTTTTTGTCTGAGACGATCTTAATTTGATGAGTAATTGAAAAATTTTAAATGGTTTAGTTTTTCAAGTCTTCGTTCTCAAGATAGATTTTTCAAGAAAAAGCTGTGATCACATGAAAATGGACTTTCGAATTCCGATTTCAAATTTTATACAAACAAAGTTCACAATCAGATTAGTTCATTGGACAAGTTGTAATTTTTCTAAGATATTCAAGGTCATTTCTTAATAAGTGTAACTGCATCAAATAATAAATTAAAAATAATGTTCATTACGAAATTTCATTAAAAATAGAGATGGTTTTTAAGCATATCATCTAGGTTTCTAGGTATCTATTATTAGTACGAAGGTCATATATTGAAAGAGTCCTTCGTATCCGATTGATTAATAACTAATTGAAGGAATTTTTTTTTTGCTGATCGATATTTATTTGATGTTGTATTCCATTACTATGTTTTACACAAATTTTCGAGTTGTCCAGTTTAAAAAAGATCTCTCATGTTCAAACCACTCAATGCTACTCAAGAATAGAAATGTGCCCATTTTAAATACTATCGATCGCTCTATTTTTCAATGGCAAATACCAGCTTTCTTCAATTTTAAGTTCATGCCCTCTACATGTGTAGATGACCAATGGCTAGTTATGTCATCATGTGTAAAAGCAAGTTTTGTTTATATATTTACATCTTCAGAAAGGAAATAACAGAAAAGCTAAAACTTGCATAATCAACTAATCTCATTAAGAACTTTGTTCGTGCAATGTCTGAAGTCAAAAGTTGATTTTCCATGTAGCCACAACATTTTGTTGAAAAGCTCAATAAAATTTCGATAGGTTTGAAAAACCAAGCCATGCTAGACTTTTTTATTACTCATTAAACGAATATCGGCTCGCTGGAACAATGATTTGACATGTGGAGAGGTTCTCTCATGAGTAATTAAATGATTGTTTTTACATATCATCATTGAGATCGATGAGCACATTGTAAACATATGCTAACCATCGATTCTTGATGTTATTAAATGGTTTTATCATATAATCGTATGAATAGTGAAAAGAATCTTTCATAACTTTAAGTTCATTGGATGGTCACCAATATGAATAAGAATGCTTGAAGATGTAACTTCTCGATTAACACTTTGATTATAAATTAAGATTTATGGCATGCAGCCTAGTGGCAGACTCAATAGCCCGATATCTTTCCTACAATTACGACTGGTTCTAGCTCTGGATAGAAGGACAGTCTGATGCAAAGTTCTTGAACTCCTTCCACATACACTAACTAATCATAAGGGCAGATATTTGTCACAACATGATCAGCATGCTATTGGGTGACTGATCTGAGATAAGTAGCTGTTAGTGACTTGTTCAGGGTCATGCAATAGCTGATGATATCAAGGTTTGCACGCAGTACTTGGTGGATACACGTATTGAACAATGTAGCCATTCGACTATGGCGGTTTTCATATACAAAGAATATGGCCCGAAAGTACTTTTTGGTTTCATTTTATATAAAATGATTCTCACTGTTTTTTTGAACTGTCGAATATTATCAATCATTAAATTTATTTTATAAATACATGATATTAGATAGTCGTTAAATTTCAGAATTGGAATTTATTTTTTAAAGAAACATCGATTCCATACATATGGATCTCATCCCCTAATCTTGAGAAATTTTCATTTTATCCTACTGAAGTTCCAACGCTTTATTTGTTTTGTTCACCAATTCTCAGAGAAAAAAATCTTTCAATCGGTCTCCTAAGCCATCAATCCTCTTTCCAATCCTAGCGACATCGAGATAATTAAAAAAACGAATAACAAATGATTCATGTGTAATGATATTCTTATTTTCTCACATAATATTTTTATACTTACTTGTTTTTTCGATTTAGATTTTGCTTGTCCAAAGCCTCGTTTTGATTTTGTTCGTGTCTTTCTTTTATCATCAAAATCATCGTCATCATCATCTTCATCATCATCATCGTCTTCTTCTTCTTCTTCTTCTTCATCTTCTACTTCACCTTCATCATCATCATTATCATCATCATCTTCTTCTTCACTTGGTTCGTCATCTTCATCTGTATCACTTAATCTTTCTTGTTGTTGTTGTTGTTGTTGTTCAGATTCATCTGAACTATGTGTATGATTTTCAATTTTATTTACTGATATTTGTTTTTGACTATTACGTTGTCGTAATAAAAGTGGTTCATCTTCTTCATCATCATCAAACCTATTAGATGATGAAATAAAATGTGATAAACTAGGATTTTGTTCTGTTGGATTTGATTCATCATCATCATTTAATTGATGATGATCAGGTGTTGTTCGATAATCACTGTTTAAATGTTGTTGAGTATTTGAATTGCTATATAAAATAGAATTAAGAAAAAAACAAAACAAAATTTTTTTTCCATAGATAAAAGAAGAATATTTCAATGAAAGTTTATTTAAATTCATTGACACGTTATTATCTGTCAAAAAAACCGCAAAAAGTTTTCAGAGGTTAACTTTTTTTGGAATCGACCGAGAGAAAAACAACTACTCAATATGAGAATTTCGAATAAAATATCATCGATTAATTATTTTATAGATACTTTTAGTTTATTTCAAATTTAATCTGATGAATTTTAATCAAAATAATCAAGAATATTCATTATATCTTTGAAAAAAAGACTTTTCCCACATGTCTTATAAAGTCAATTTTAGTCAAGGTCTTTTAGATTATTAAAAAAATATACATTTATAAATTCTATACAGTATTTTCATTATTTTTATTGATTAATAAATGAAAAAAAATTAATTCCAAAAAAGATAAATGAATGAAATATTTTCTTTTTTTGGTATAAAAAATATGTAAAATAAACAAACAATGCAGAACAATTTATTTCTTCTCATTAGGTCATAACGCACTTTATTTATTTTTAAATAATATTAGTTAAATTAGTTACCTGAACATTGATTGTAACAAATAATAATAATAATATCATAAGGTGAGTACACACGCTCAACACATGGGGTGTATATATATTGTTTTATTTTCGATTTTTTCTTCTACGATTGCATCGCCATCTTGGCTCTTGCATACTCAAGACCTCTTTTCTAACAAGCGGACGACAGCGACGCCTTCATCAGCTACTTTTTTTCTTCACTAGATGAAATAAATATGTGAATAGCACAGTCGCGCAATGTCGCTTGCCGACGTCGATAATTTATGAAGAAAAAAAGACAATTGACTGTGAAGTAGCGACGACTATTATAAACTCTATTAAAATTTGTATTGTAAATAAAAAAAGCTTGTGTTTGAACAGAGTTGTATTTGAACATAATACTAAGATTAAGATTTGATCGGAAAAATGCCAAAGATTTTCGAAAAACCTTTAGTTCTATTGAAAAGTTTCAAGCATTAGATTGACTTACCATAAATTATCATTGCAAATATCATCTTCCATAGAATAAACTCGTCCTGGAATAGAGAAACATATATATATATATATATGTATAACCAATTGAACAAAATGTATATTAAAATAAAATCATTACGATACATTACTTTCAATTTGAAAAATTGTTGAAATTTTTAAAGATCAACCTCCAAATATTATTATTATTATTATTATTATCATCCTCTTTCAAGAAAAATAAAAGATTATGATTCTATTTTACGACACCATTTAATGAAAATTTCTTTTTTTATGAAGAAAAAAAAGTGTAAGGAGAAAAAAAAAGGTAAAATCACCAACAAAAAACACACAAATTTGTTTGATGAGAAAAGAAAAAAAAGAATTTCAAGAGACAATTTCAATCTACACAAAGAAAAACCGGCGGTGGATATATGTGAAGGAAATAGGACAAAAGAAACAAAAAAAGACATCGTACATATACGAACAAAGGTAAATCAAATATGACAATAAATAAAGATAACTAGATAAATAGTGGAAGTATAATAAAGAGATGGAAACAGCGCTAATGATTGGAAAGGAAAAAGAAAATTACAGAAGCACGCACACTCACAAAATATAGAAAAATAATTGTATGATTGAAGTATGTTTTGTTTTAAAGGTTTTTTTTGTTGTTTTCCATGGGATACAAATTACATGAGTGAAATATAGAATTAAGGTAATGAAGAAATGTTCAAATTAAGAGAGCAAGAGAGTATGGAAAAGAAAAAGGAAACAAAGAAAAGAAACATGTGTACTTGCAGAGATCAGGAGTGATATAATGTCTATCAGATCAAATAGGTATAACATCGAATGGAGTCTTTTTTTTTAGTGTTTTTTTTAATTTTCGTTTAAATCAGTTGACTAGACGATAATCGCACAAAAGGTGATAATTGATTTGGGTGGTGGAATGTTTATGGATCGACTACGTTTGGCAATAATGAGAATAATTTGACGAAGATAATTAAATGAGATACAGCATTGCACATGACAATAGGCGAAGTATTTGATATATATATATTTTTTTCTCTGTCTCTTAATCATTTTAAAGTCTTTTTTTTGTTTTGTTTTGTTTTGATTTAAAGACTGCCAAATGGATCATTAACTTGCTGCTGATTTTGTTTTGGTTGTTGACCAAATGGTGAAGCGCCAAATGATGGTTGAGCAGCAAATGGATTTGTACCTGCACCCGTTGGTCGAGGTCCCATACTGCCAAAGCCCATTTGCTAAAATAAGAAATAATGAAAATATATTATTTGAATAATTTTGTTTTGTTTTTTTTTTGGCATTGAATAAATAAACTCAAGCAGAATTTTTATAATGAGTTTTCAATAGAAAGATGTTAAAAAAAAGAAACCAGTATACTGTAGCTTTTTAGTAAAGATTTCTCAATGAATAAATTATCTAATCATAATATTTATCAAACAAGATGTTCCAAAGCAAAAGAATATCATGCATTAAAGCTTTCCAACTAATCCTATCAGTTATATTATTATAGCATTTTATTTAGATTGCAAATTTAAATATTTAGAATAAAATCTTTTACCATCAATTCCCTGACTACATAAATATGCTACGTAAAATTAAATTATTACCACAGGATAGTAAGGACGCATAGTATTTGTCATATACATCTATACAAAAATTAAGAGACGTTTATCATCAACGAATTCATACCACGCATATTATATCGGAGTTTAGTGAATATTATGCTAGAAGAAATTTTCGTTTGATGATTACAAATATATAAAAAACTTCTAGAATATTTCTTCTTTAATTTAAACATATACCCATCTCGAAACTATATATTAACCATTCCATGTAAGTCATGATCAAACACTATAGAGGACTACTTAATCATAAACTTTGATTTACGTAAAATCAATTCCATTATATAGAGCATATGATTTTTACTCTTGAACAGAAATGGGAGTCTTATTGAAGATCTGTTTACGACGTAATTAGAATTTTTCAAATGAATTTTCATTGTAAACTTCTATGATTTGCATCGGACTACAATAGAAACATCACCTTGTTGATAGGTTTTCTCCTAAGAAATCAATGGAATGTCGCTCAAACATTTTTTAAAAAAAATATCACCAAGCTAACGACTGCTTGATTTTAGAGATCTGAATTGCAGTCACCTTCATGATCAAAGAAAAGAAAAGTTTTTTACCAGAGCTTTTTCTAATAAGACAAGAAGAATAATTCAAGTCGAACTTTTTATTTAGAAAGTTCTCCTATTCAAAATACCTTTTAAGACGTGCCGATCGAGCAATCTCCAACAGAGAAAAATATTGTGCATTTTACACTACAGGATATGATTGTATCTTCAAGTTTCAAATGGCATTATGAACAGAAGACAAATTTGAATGTAAAGCTCAACTCAAGTTACTCTACTAGTCTCATTAGGAAAGGCTATCGTAAAAAAACTTTTCTGTTGTTTTGATCACACGACCATGACTGTGATATAGATGACTACTCGACAGTGTGAGCATAAGTTTAGAACATTTGATTAAATAGAATTCGATCGTCATTTACATAGTTTAACTCGTATATAAAATAAATTCTAACAGACGACTTATCCGAAACTCTTATTCCATAATAAACAAATTAATCTTTGAAGTATATTGAATTTTTACGTATATGATTACTCACAGATATTTTTACAATTCGAAAAAAAAGTGTTCGGAATTATTTACGACTGTCGTTGGTTTGTTTTTTTTTCATTTGACGACTCATAAAGATTCTTTGATGATGATGATGATAAAGAAAATCACTGACAGCTTTAGTAGTGCGTAGAAAGTATGAATACATGAGCATATTTTATGCATATCAATTTCTTAATATTTATCAATAAGATAAAATTCCAATTTATACTTAATATAGAATTTCAAATGATATTTCTCAAAAGTACGAATTTATAATTATATTTTCAAAAATTCTAAATCTTATGCCATGATATACTTGTATACAAATTCTATGTATAAATCGAATATTATGCAAAAATATTATAAAATCATATATGTATGTTTTTTTTTTATCGTATTTCATTTGCTTGATATTTTGTAATATTATTCTACGAAATTATAAATATAAAATACTTTTTTTCTTCATATCATAAATAATAATATTTATATACGTATATTTCTTTTTTCCAATGGTATATTTATTAATAGATATCGTAATGTCTCTTTCTACATATATATATATATATATATATACGTGTGCGTGGGTGTAAGGCAAAATTTAGAAGATCTTAGGTTTTAGTAAAAAGGAAGGTTAGAGTTTTTTTTGTTATTATTACTTACTGATTATGCTCGACTCAAATGTAAGTTTTTTGTGATTCCAACACTATACGTCTTCATATCAAAATACATCGAAGATAAATCGAGAAAAAAAGCTCATATAAAAGCATTTTTTTCGTAAGAATATGCTTGCTGCTACAATCACATACATGAAATCAAATGACTGACTCTCTTCAATGCAAAAAAAAGAAAGGGGTACACGGAAAAAAAGAAGGAGAGTAGTGTATGTGCGCCCGCACACACACACACACGCACAGCACAGAGAGAGACATTACTGCAACTAAACTCAGTGTGTCTATGCGCACAAAACGTTAGTGCGACTTATATTTTGTATTTGGTCGTTGCCTGTTTGCCTCTCTTTCCGTTGATATGTGTGCTTTTCATTGCTTGTAAAGCACATGCGTGCAAGAGAGGTAAAGTGAATAATGAAAGGAAAATAGACGACCGATTCGGCGACTGCCGTTTGTAGCTTTTTTTTCGCCCACTATGATGTTTGAAATAGGGGGTATTATTATTTGTTGCTTGGGTAAGGTGCAAAAAAAACGAAGAAAATGTAGGCGAATGTAAATAAATCATCATTGACTAGTTCGTCGACATCGATGCGAGAAACACAGAGAGAGAAAAAAAAAAAGGGCTTGCATTACATCTATATGATTGCAATACGAAGATAAGAAAAGAGCAAAAGAAAAAAAAAACACTCGACTAACATATATGGGGGGTAATCAAGAGCTCGAAAAAAAAAATATTTATATATATATATAACTCGAAAGCAAATAGCAGCTGATTGGTAAAGAAAAAAGAAAAGAACGATGAGGGCAATTACGTACCGATTGACCAGTAGGAGCAGCAAAAGGATTGGTTGATGATGTTTGAGTTGCTGGTTGTTGCCACATTGTATTTTGTTGAACATTCATCTAAAAAAAAAACAAAAAGAATTATGTATATATATAAGATTGAAAATTATGCAATTATAAAAATATCTTGTTGAAAAATAACTTACACCACCAAATGATCCACCCATCATTGGTGGTTGATTTGGCCATACTGTGCCAGGACTATGCATAGTTCCACCTCCGATACCAATTTTTTGTTGATTTTTACTATCACTTGGTGTCCATTGATGATCTTTTCTATAAAAATTAAAAAAAAAGAAATCTATTGTAAATATAATACAAAGAAATTTTTTACCCAATTTTCGAACGATCTTTCATATCAAGATTTTCTAATAATTGATTAAGAGATGAATTAAGATCACCTGATTGAAGTGGTTTTGTTGTTGATGGAATGTTTTGATTAGTAGTAAATACGGGTGTTGTTGATATATTTTTATTTGATGACATTGATGTTGGTTGAAGAATATCATCGAAAAAGTTTGCTAAAAATAAACAAACAAGTTATTCTTCATTCGTTCAATATAAATGATTTAAACATCAATGTCTACATGCTATATTGATATATTATGAAACATGCGACAACATCTAACAAACCTTCAGATATATTTGTTACTGTCGATGTTTCAGTTGATGGAGGAGCTTCTGCTACTTGTTTTTTTTTAATAGGGAAAAAAAATTAATATTAGTAATATTTTTAGTTTGTTATTAGAAATAAAAAGAAAAAAAGAAAAAAAAAATGAATTTTATTTAAATTACCTTTAGGTGCTGATGTATCAAGAACATTTGAGAATGGTTGTTGTGGTTGAAATACAGGAAAAGTATTTTGATTATTATTAAAAAATGTATTTGTTGATGTTTGTGATGGTGGTGTAGCAAGTGAAAAAAGATCATCTGTTAATAATTGTTGTTGTTGTGCAGTTGTATGTGATTTTGTGTGTTGACCATTTGATGATGTTTGTTGAGAAAAGAAATCTGTATCACCAAAATTATTGTTAGCTGTTGTTGGTTGTGTAAATGCAGATGAATCTTTACTCTATATATAAATGAAGATAAAATAAATTTAAGAAAAAAGAACAAATAAATTAAACCTTATTAAATTGTGCAAGTGCTTTAGCTTCTTCTTCAAGAATTTTCTGTGGATCATCACTATCATTAAATATAAAATCACGTGAAAAACTTTTTAAATCTTGTTCAGTTTGTTGTCTAAAATATTTAATAAATTGTTTAACGAAAATTTTTTTTGTTTTTCTTTTGTATTATATACCTTGATATTGATGTTTGTGATGTTAATTTTTTACCTTCCATATGTGCTAAATGATTTTCCAATGCTTCCAAAAGACTACTTGGAGCCTATGAAAAAAGAAAAATTCGATTTTAATAAATATTTCATATTTTAAGCATAACTAATTTAGTCAGAATTTGTAACATGCAAATTTAATATCCGTTTCCTTTCACTTACTTTATTATTTTCATCAATTCTCTACATATGTATATATATATGTGCTCGTAAAACAAAAATTCACGTCTTTAAAATTTTTATATTAACTTACTCGTGATAAATCAGGAATTTCACTTCGTTCCATACCCGATGTCTAAAAAAACAAGAAAAGATCTTTTTTTTTTATATTCGTCTTTTTCTTTTTATTAAATTATAAAAATTTTTCATGTTAGTATTTCATACATTGAAGCATAGAAGGTTAAAAAATTATTATTTTGTTTTTCTATATTCTCTTTATTTCGTTTTCTATTTAGCAAAACAAACCTGATAGACATACACTGAAAGTTGCTAAAGATATAAAAGAAACGAACTAGAATTGTGAGGCTCACACACATACAAACTGTGAAAAGGAAGTTTTATTCAAACAAATCTCGTTATTTTTCTTAATTCACTATTACCTTTTTCCAAGAGGATCGGTCAAATAATTGACCGTAACGCTAATTTATGATAGTTATTGTTTGATTAGTGGAATTTTTTTTTAAATTGAAATAGAAATAAACTTACTTCAGCAACTTTGAGAAAATTTGAAACTTTATCTGTTCGATCAAGAAATTTCTTATAAATATCTAATGCTTCGCGACATTGTTTTTTATTCATGTCAAAATATTTTTCTAGAAAAATCAAATACAATTCGTTTTTTTTTCATGTAAAAGTCAAAAAAAACGTTTTGTTCTTACCAAGTAAATTAATCATTCCATCATTAAAAGCTGCATATAAACGTATGAGATCTTTGATTAAAAGAAAAAAACAACTATTTATAACACCATTTGTTAGTTCATTAGGTGTAACCTATAAAAAAAATAAAATAAAATAAAATTCCATTTGTCTTCAGTATAAAAATTCTCTCTCTCTTTCTCATGCTCTCTGCATCACACATGCTTTACTGCAAAATAATAGTAATAATAATTCTAAAATCAGGCAAATCTTAACTTACAGAAATTTTTAGTTTTTTATTCTAAATTTTTTTTTCTTCGTTTGATATTCAAAAATCGCACAAAAAAAGAAAAACAAACACACTTACATCAAATTCAAGTAAAGCATCAAGTTGTTTTTGAAGAATAGGTAATGCTTTTAATAACTATTAAATGAAATAAATTAACTTTTTAAAACTAAATTATAATAATCTTACTTTTTCAGTAGGCATCGTTCGAAGAACTCCATCATCTTTTCTACAAAACAAAAGAAAAACCATAATATCAATAGTTTATCATTAATGAAATCAATTTAACAAACCCTCGTTTAATTTTACAAAAATCATAACCCATTAATTTATAAGATTCTCGTTTTTCATTTAAATAACTTGCATAACGTCGAATATAATTCGACATATCACCACCAGGCATTCCCATACGATCTAAATAAGCAGCTGGTTGAAGTCTATGATTATGTGAAGCCATATAAGCTTCAAAACGCTAAACAAAGATAAGCCAGGTTATATTAAAACTCCAAAAAAAAAAAAGGAAACTTTACTTCATTTCCAAAACACATTAAATGATGTATTGTAATTAATGCTTTAAATGAAACAACCCATGATGAATTTTGTGTACGTTCAATTAATAAATCAGCCAATTGAGGTATTGATACATTCATTTCATTTGTTGCTTGTAAAAGAACTTAAAAAAAAGAGCAAGACTAACGTTTCTTTTTTATTTTTCATTTTCTTAAAATATCTTACAATCAAGATGTTTTCGTTTTGGACCCATAATTTCTTCTGTTGTTGCTTTACAAACAATTTTTGCTAGAGCTTGTCCAGCAATTGTATTTTTAGCAGCTAAAAGCCGATCAACAAGACTTTGTCCGCCTGGTTGCATCGTTTTGATTATCTAATAAAAAAATCCAAACAAAAGAAATCAATCTTTAAGAAGAATTTCTTTTTTATTTGACTTGATTATTTTGTTAGTGACATTATTTGTCAAGGTCATTCATACAATCAAGTAAACATAGATATATTTATATTGATAAAATAAAATAATTTACTAGACAAAAAAAAATGAATTAATTCATTTCTTGAACAATAGAAAATAGTATAAATTAAATTTTTTTTTGTAAAAGACAAAATCATGTGCTTATTATTGTTTTCAATATGTCGACACATGTATTCATGCATTCTATTGGTTTATTTATTGGATTAGAATAAAGTATGGATAATAAAAAAGAAAAATTAATGAATAATATTTTTAAAAAATGGAAATTCGAATAGATAATCAATCATTTGAAAAAATAAAATTAGTTTTAATTGAACAATTCAAAGAAAAACATCCAACAACTAAATTCAAGTATTAAGAAAAAAAATATCCTTTTATTTTTTGTTAATTAAATAATAATTATTTTTTTTTAATTCAAAATTGACATGTTTTTTTCTCCTTGACTTTTTTTTAATCAATATTTAAGTCATAAGATATATCGATTTTTAATTAAAAAATTACGTCGACAATTATATCGACAACAAATAGCAAAAGAACGTGATGAAAAACTTCGTTTAGAAGAAATTGACAGACAAAATGATCCATTATATCAAGCATGGATTATTCAAAAAGAAAATATTCGAATACAAAAAGAAATTGAAGAAGAAGAAGAAGAAAAGTATTTTTTTAAATATTTTTGAAATAGACAAAAAAAAAGAATTATGGAAAATTTTTATTTGTAGTAAAAGAGCTCGAAAATTACGAGAACAACGTGAACAAATGGAAATTCAAAAGAAAGAACAATTAAGAAAAGAAATGGAAGAAAAACAAAAGGTAAACTAATTTAAGAAAAATCTATTTCAGAACTCTTAAATTGATTCATATTTTCCATACAGATTATAAAATATCGAAAGAAAGAGAGAAACTTAATTATTAATAAATAAGTTCTTCAAAGAAACTTGTCTAGTTTTGCTGTTAGTTGTTTAAGAGTTTGATAAAAGATACCATTGGAGTAGATCGTAAATCTGTTAGCTTCTTAGCTCTTACTTTCAATAGAATAGAAAGATAGAAAACATGAAATTCTGCACATTTCTGTCTATTTATTTTTTGTTTTATTGAATGCAATAAAAAAGTTTTCTTGAACTAAATAGTCTTAGGGAGAGGATCCATCAGTTGCGGGTGTTATCGATAATAACTATAGTACCTGTAATTTTGCTATTATAAGCCCAATAGAAAAATTAATAGCATTGATCAATACCATTTTTCATACTCGACAACATAACACATCGATGAGTATATGCAAGGTCAGATAGGTATGATATGATACCTATCTAGCCTTGCATATACTCATCGACGTGTTATGTTATAGAGTACAAAGAAGCGGCAACGATCTACGTTATTAGTTTTCATATTGGACTTATAACAGAAAAACTACGGGTACTATATTTATTATTCGAAACATTCAAAAGTAGTCAGAAATCCTACAAGACTATATTAGGCATGAAAATTTTTGTTTTTGCATTCCACAGAAAACAAAATAAATAGACAGAAGTGTGCAGGATTTCCTGTTCTCTATCTTTCTATTCTAGTGGCAGTGCAATCTAAGGGGATGGCAGATTTACGATCTTATCCGACAGTGATCTTTTTATTTTCAAGAAGAGAAAGTTTCTAACAAATCGAGACTATGCGTATCACATAGGTTCCAATGAGCTTTAAATATTTGAAATGAGTTTCGAACTAATAGCTTATCATTAGCCAGATATTGTATTCTTTACTGGGATACTGTGACTCCCTCAGTAAAACTGATCTTCGGATTTCAGCTTGAAACTTTGCAAAGAGACACGTCTTAATGAGAATAGTTTATTATAAAAATTTTAGATCTTTTGATTGTTTCTTTTCTAATATACGACTATGATATATGCAATTGCAAATTCCAATGTTCGTATTTCAGAATAGATGCAGTCGAAAAAATTGGAAACTTTGACAATAAACTATTCTCTTTAACACTTGTCGCTGTAAAAAGTTTCAAGTCGACATTCGAAACTCAGTTTTTACTAAAGGAAGACCACAGCATTCTGTTATAATGCACGTAGTCATGACTCAAAAGTGATTTGACACTTAGAAACATTCCTTCGTCAATTGTTGAATATTTTTGAAGAAAATAACACAAATAAATATATTCAAATTTTATTCACATTTTTTTGTTTGGTATTTCTAACATTTGAAAAAAAAAGACTTCTGCACAGTCTTTCGACATTCTTATTATAAAATATTTAAAAATGAATCATTTCTTTTTATCTATATTTATCTATTAATTAATCTGTTGAAAATAAAAGTTGAGTTAGAAGTTTTGAGTCATTTTATATAATAAATATTTCCATATGAATAAATCTTTTCACAGAACTGTTTGTATAGAAATATACTACAGTGAAATGCTTTGTTCAAAATGACTATAACTTGATCTCTCTAGTTCATTGAGTACGAAAGTTATTAGCCTAGAATATAATATTTCAAAAACAACTCAATTATTAATATATTAATCATTAAAAATGGAATAATAGAATACGTGTGACTAAACCAATCAATTTGCATTACGAAATCACATAGGAATTGTTTCATGATAAGTAAGTTAGATAACTAGATATAATTGTTAGCATGAATTAATTCTGTTTTCACAACTCACTAATTCTACCTAGGAAAATAATTAATGTTGTCGATGAATTACAATTGTATGAAAATTCTTCTTTTTTTTTGCGTCGAAAATCATTAAGAAAGACAATCAATTAAATATTTAAAAAGAAAAAAAGAATACTCACTCAATGTATTCGTTATCCAAATTCCAATGTAGTGTCGCAATTCGAATTGATTGCTTAAGTCACATGTACTCTATTATTACACTTTTTATGATTAACAGTTAAATTGTTTTGAAATACGATATTCTACATTAATAACTTGTGTACTCAATGATCTAGAGAAATCAATTTATAGCACGTTTTACAATATTATTTTTCTATAAAGACAAGTTGGCGAAAAGATTTATTCATATGAAAACATTTATTATATAAAAAAATAAAACTATAACAGATTTTACAGCATAATTAATTTAAATAGAAAGCCCATGTAGTGAAATTTATGTAAAATTTTATCGTCAAAATTCAATTCGAATAGGATCCTTTTAAGGAGATAGAATTATTTTCTTATTTTCAAAATGGAATTTACTATTTGAATAGATAATTTTCGTATGTTGAAAATGAAAATTCATTTTTAGGAATTATCATTATCAAAAATCACTGCTCCAACACATAATCCATTTGCACCAATTCAAGTAACGATTACTCCAAGTATCGAACGTCCTGTTTGTTCATTTTATTTAAAAACTGGCGTTTGTCGATATAACGAGCGGTTTGTTTTATCGTTTAGGATTACTTGTTTTTTTTTACCATTGTTTTCATAGTTGTCGTCGTACTCATAATAAACCAGATATAACTAATACGCTATTAGCTGTAAATATGTATTCAAATTTTGAAATGCAATATGGTTTAGATGATGAATATGATTGTGGTAGATAATAATCATTTAATTATATAAATGATTGTTAAAAAGTTTTTGTTTATCATTAAGATATTGGTTTAGAATTTGAAGAATCTGAACGATATGAAAATTTTAAAGATTTTTATTATGATGTTTTACCAGAATTTGAACGTTTTGGTCGTGTAATTATGTTTAAAGTATGTTCAAATTCCGAAATACAGTTACGTGGAAATGTTTATGTACAATATGAAACGTAAATCTTTTTCATTAATTATTATTATTATTTTTTTTGTTTTGTTTTTATTGAATTAATTAATTTCATTTAGAGATTATCAAGCTATGAAAGCATATAAAGCATTAAATACACGATATTATGCTGGTCGAATGGTTCAATGTCAATTTGTAAATATTCCAAGTTGGTCAGCAGCTATTTGTGGTAAACATCATTACAGACTCTGACAGATGTTGTTGATATATGACCAAGGCCGTATATCAATAACGTCTCATTATAATGACGCATGGAGCATATTAAATGGCCACGTTTTGCATTTCAAATTTTAATCACTAAAAGAATTTGTACCACAAGATGCAGCGTGAAAAGCTCTGTAATTTAGAAAGAACAGCTTATTTTATATATGAATCTTTTGTCTTCAAAATAGACGAAATTCTGTGCGACTAATTTTCAACACTGTGGACATGAAAATATTTGTGGTAAACGATCAATTCACTTTTTTTACCCTATCAGTTAAAAACAATTCTATTCATTAATAGGAATATTTTTCATTAGAACACATTCATGCTACAAGACGAACAAGGTAGCATAAATCAAATGGCTATGCATCCAACAAGAATTATAGCGTAGATTGGTACTTCTAAAAATAGTCTTATGTCTACAATTATTTTTAACTTTGGTGAAGCTGTTACACATTAGAAATCGCTTGCATAATATCAAGAAAATTTCGTACAATTCATTAACAATCATAGATGGCCACCAAACATCTCTGATCTCAATGTTCTGAAAAGAAAAAATGAATTAAGTGCAACTATAAAATAAGCTGTTCTTTTTAAATTGTAGAGCTTTTCACACTGCATCTTGTATTGTATTTTGTTTTAATACAATGTATTAAATGATTAAAAATTGAAATACAAGACGTCATCATTTATTATGTCTCACTCATTATATGAACTAATTCGTTATCGCATTTCTAGATAACTAAGTAAAAGAATAATGAAGAAATATGTTGCAAAAAATAGATAGGATAAAATAATGTCCTCATGATTAGAGTCCATCAAGCGGGTTCCGGGTCCACTGAAGTCCGAAAGTTTTAGACTATACGGAATCCACCTGTGATTAGCAAGAGCAGCAATATTGTTTG